ACAAGATTTAAGTTCTACCTCCATCCTTAATTCATATTAAAGAAGGAAGACCACCTGAATGTTCAAACTTTTGCAAATAATCCCAGTATGTCCTATTGCTAGACCAAAAGACAATATGATAACACTCAAGATAGGCTCTTGAACAGTCACTAATAAAAGAATCCTCTCTTAGATTGGAAATGTATATGAAAAGCACCCAGGAAACCCTCAAGCAAAGTACAGAAAAAGCACCCAGTAAATCATTCTTTTGAACTAGATAAAATTGATCCATCAAAAAGAGCCCAAATTGCCATCTGGACATACATACAGCTTGTTTGAATAAGACAAATGTTCCATGGTTTTTGAGTCAAGAAAACTAAAGGTTACTGCAGTACAAAATTTTAGTTGAAATCCTCAAATTTTCAGATACAATTTAGAGCATTTCTGTAATGCTCAGGCTCCTTCCTTGTCATCTCAGGTCTCAAATAAAATCAATTATCAAATGCAAGCACAATAATGCACTATTAGCCAATAGTGTTGGGCAGTTGTAAATCACTTCTACCGTTTCTTAAGCTTATGAGCAAAAGAACTACCCTTCACTTTAATCAGCTTAAGCCCTTATCATCTAATAATGAAGCTAATATATGCCTTGTCACCCACATCCCTCTGTCAGTCGTTGCATTTAGGTAGATTTACATTCTGTTCTACTTTCCATGAAACAGATCAATAATCTTCCTCTTTTGCTTGTGACTAGTGAATTAATTTTGATTGGTTGGATTCCTATAAGTGACACTTATTTGACAATGTAATAAGAATTCAACTGTCCCCATTGCAAAATTTACTTATTCCAACAATACAAGATATCAATAATTACCACCAGAGGTATCACATTGGAATTTCAACACTTGCAGCCTGAATACAAGTAACTTCTAAAAATATTTCAAATGCATGTTAGCATCATTGCGAATCTTCTGTAGTTGTTGACAAACAGAAGTTTTGTCACAACTAGTACTGTGGAGAACAAACTCTCAGCAAGCCCAATGATGAGAACACCCCCCTCCCCTCCACAAAAAAAAAAAAAAAGAGTATGTCCATTGAAATTTGATAGTACGAGAAAACATTAACACATTCCAAAAACACAAACAAACTTGATACAAAAATGTTAATGGTAGAACTTGACAGGGTCCATAAGAAGAAGACAGAAGATCAAAATATACTTGAGCAAATGCTGACCTCGAAGATTGGATTTAAAACCACAACTAGTCAAATGCTTTGCAAGCGCCTCTCCCAATTGTGTTTGCCAGTTCTGTATATCTTTAGCTTCAGATACAGGCCATATAATAGCCGTCTCTGTAGTGAGATTGACACTAGCTGATGAAACCTGAGGCTGTTCATAAAAGTATCACATTAGTATCTAGTTGATGATACCATTTTGAGTAACAACCCACTCACTATGATGCTTACTTATATTTGGATTTGGCACACTAAATAGAGATTTTCCTGATCTCCAAATGGTAACCACTAGGCATGTTAAGGTCTTCTGCATACTTGTCGGCCCAAAAAGGTTTGTTTTCTATATTACAGTTTTCAATAAGGACATGATTTTCAGAGAATACGCCCCCTTCAGAAAAGGGTACATATAATAGAAGTTGGACAAAGATATAATGTTCTAAACACACCTTCAAAAGGTTAAGACCTCCAACACAGCATGCATGACGTGAAGGTTTTGACAGTCTATTTAAACATTTTCGACAGGATTGCCCACTTATCTCTAACTTTTACTAATATCACAAGTAGAGATGCTGAAGTTTCCACGAGTGACTCCAAAATCCATTCTCAAACTCCAACCCCGCATTTTATTCATGTTTGGCACATTTATTAGAATTAGAACCAGAGCCAAAAATAATAACAATCAAAATATAAAACTCACTTGACTTTCTAATATTCTCTTAACACTGGCTGCACATCCCCCACAAGTCATTCCCTGTGCACCATAACATTATAAACAGGTAAATTCCATCAAAAGTAAGTTACTTCAAAAACACTAAACAAACAGAGAGAAGATGAAATGATTATTATATTCTGGAGAAAAATGTAAAGCTTACCCCAACATCAAGAACTATGACGTCAGAAGCCAAAGCAGAGATGTCATCAGCTCCAGCAGCAACAGTGGCCGGCTTGACTTCCCCACCTTCGGCGGAACTATCTCCCCCGCCGCCGCCTCCGCCGCTGCTCCCATCATTCCCCCCAAATCCTCCGCTACCGGAAGCAAATGAGGCGGCGGAGTAGGACACACACTCCAGGCAGCTCCTAGCAGGATGCAGTTCCACCGCACCCAAGCTCCTCGGCAAATAGATAGAGCCAAACCGGTTTGATTTTGCGAGAGAATTATTGGGGAGAATGCGATGGAGGGGGAGACGTAGGAGTTGAGTTGGGCGAGCAGGGGAAAAACGGCGGTGGAGATGAGAAATGAATGGAGAAGTAGAAGAAGAGCTGGAGTTGTGGGTTTTGGATAGGGATAAAAATGCCATTGTTGTGGTTACTGATAATGTTGACTCCATTGCCGATAGAGCCAAGAGCTCCGCAGCTTCAATTCACGTCTGCGGAATTGTCCTGCGTGGTCGGTAGGAGGGAGTAGGAAGGAAGGATAGAGCTTTCATACTCTAAGCATGGGCCGGAGGTACGGTAGTCATTAACACTCTTCTTTTGGGCCTCATGGCAGGAGGACCAGTGGGCTGTTGGGTTAGGTGAACAATTAACGCAGACGCAATTTATTCAAGAAACACGTGTGCTAATTGTTATTCTTTTCTTTTCCTTTTTTCAGTGAAAAAGTTGTTGGAGATAGACTTTTGCTGGTGTAAAGCTGGCTGGAACCCTGCCCGTGACAATGAAAAAGCAGAAAGGGTAGTAAACAGAGAGGAAATTTTATGTGAAATAATTTAGGCTTTGTTTGAATTGTATTTTTTTGAATTTTTTTATAAAAAAATTACTGTAATAATTTGATATATATGAAATAAAAAGTGATTGGAAAATATGTCTATAAGTCTGTTTGGAACCTGAGTTTTTTTGGAATTTATCTAAAACTTTACTGTAGTGCACTGTATAAGTTTTTGAAAAAATTCTGTAGAAGTTTTTGTAAGGTGAAAAATTTTTTTGTAGAAGTTTTTGTAATTTGAAAAATTTTATAGAAGTTTTTGTAAAGTGAAAAACATTTTTTTCCTTTTCTTTTTTTTTTCTTTTTCTTTTTCTCTTTCTTTTTCTTTCTTTCCTTTTTCTTTTCTTTTCTCTCTTCTTCTTCCTTCCCCCTCCCCCTTCCCCGTTACCTCTGCCTCCCACCTCCAGCACCTCCGCCAGCACCACTTCTCTTCTTTTTTTTTTTTTTTTTTGCTTTTTTCTCCTCCCCTCTCTCTCCCTCACCCTTTCCCCTCTCCCCCCCCTTCTGCCCCATCCTTTCTCCTCCTCTGCCCGCCACCCCTCTCTCTCCCTCCCCCGCCACCCCTTCTACCCACCATCCCTTTCCTCCCCTCTCCCCCGCTAACCCCCTCTGCCCGCCTCCCTCTCCCCTCCCCCTCGCACTCCGACGACAAAGGAAGGCCGGCCATGGACCATTAATTTTTTTTAGCTTTTTTTCTCAGGCCCCCTCCCCTCTTCTCCTCTCCCTCCTCCGCCACCCTCCCCCTCTCCCTTTGCGATCTAGTTGCGCGACCAGATCGCACCTAGCAGGAGAGGGAGGGTGGCGGGGGAGGGAAAGGGAAGGAGAGGGGGTGAGGATGAGGGACAGAAAAAAAAAATTTGAGGTGACCGGGGGCCGAGAGAGGTGGTGGATGTGGTGGCTGGCGTGGTGGGTAAGCGAGGAAAAAGAAAAAAAGTTTTTGGAAAATTTTTTGTGTATTAGATTTTTGGAAGTGTGTAAGTAAAAAACTTTGAGAAATTTTTTAGGGTTCCTGTAGCAAAAGTTGTTAAAAAACTAGGAGCTAAAAAACTTGGGTAAAAAACTCACAGTTCCAAACAGGGCACTAGTAATTTTTTCTGCAATCCAAACACGCCCCTAGGCCCTAGCTATCCAAACATTATAAAAGCGCTCTCTCTCTCTCTCTCTCTTCATCCAATCCCGATCCGACCAGCAAAAAACTGGTGTAGACCTGCTACGTCATCGCGGGCCTTACAAAGCATTATTGTAGTCAAAACTGCTTGGTTAAACAATATTATTATTTGACCAGGAAGCCAGCTTTGTCTGGTACTCAAAACTCGAATTTTAATTTTTAACAAACCCAAAATTATAAGTCCTTCCCTCCACAGATTGAACCAAAGCTGCGGGAGGCTTGCCCGCGGCAAAACTCGTTCCTTATCATTGAGTTTTTGGCTGTATAAAATTGAGAATAAGAAGGGAGGAAACAACAAAGAGAAGAAAGAAGCCAAAGTCTGGTTGGTGTCCGCCACCTTCATGCCTCTGCCTACCTATACTCGCGCGGCCATAAATACTGGAGGGAAGAAATCTCACATGCGGTCAATCCAGCAATTCGAACAACCACCAAGACCCCAAAAGAGAGGGATGCTGATATCCAAGCTTATCTCTAAATTGAGAAAATCATGTCTACCTCTTTTATGACAAAAATTGAAACTAAAAGATGGTTTTTATTGATTTGTGGGTTCTTCGGATCACACGGCAATTTTTCCTCTGCATATGATCTGTTTTGTTTTCGTTCTCAAACTTTCCAAACCTCAGAGAAATCGTAAGCATACCCAGACGACCGCGTTACCGCGTTATTGAGGAGGCATTCGGAAATCGTAAGCGATTGGGAACAGGGATTTTCATGGGTCGGCAACAATTTTTTGTTCTTTCTTCTTTCGTCCCAGGGGCCGCCAAACAGTACCTGAAAATAAAGATAGTACACAGGCAACGAGCAAAACAAGCCCAGTTTCATAATTTGCTCGTCCTTTTCAACGACTTGGCTTCTCATCTGTATGTATAAAACCTGCAGCTTACATAGAATCAAGAATAGGATCGGACAAACTAGGAATTAGATTCAAAATATTAGTGTGTACTAGGACCATTTGTTCCGAAAAAACCATAGAGACTACTTGGCAAAATTTTGATCATACGCATCTTTTCCAGCCCACAAAAATCATGCAGTTTTGACTACATTTACTTCCTCATTCATACAACGTCCAACTGAAAAGAAGCGGGGCAGAGCAAGACAAGTGCATTTTCAAGGCGCGCACACGCATACATATACATGATATACACACCACATATGAAATATATAACTAACAAAATTTCTAAAACTGGTTTATTCAAGAAAGCAATTGAGCATGTATAGCGCGCATAGACCATAGGATATTCCAATTCTGACCGTATGAGAACATGACTGATATCAGCGGTAACCAAGTGGAGCTGGTGCCTCTCTTAACTCCTTCCCTTGGAAATGAATATCCTACAAAAAAAGCATAGTCTCTGAGCATCAGCATGCTAAGATTTAAAAAGAAAGTATTCAACGATTATCAAGGAAGGACACACATAAAAAATGGACAATATTGATTTTGAACCAAATATTAGAGAGATGATGCAAAAATTACTGAATGCTATACAAAACGCACAATCTCATCCCCTGAAACAAGACATAAAAGCTGCACTCCTGATTAATAAATGAAACAATTTCCTGACAAAAAGAGTTGCCATATGCTTGTAATCCTCTGTAACTTCTTTTACACTTAAAATCGAAGATTTCTTTTCTTTCTTCAATCATCACTCCATGGTAGCAGAGAATGTAAAGAAGCATTGTGCCTGCCACAGGCAACTGGACAACTGAAGAAAAACTAATTACTGAGAAACAAGCAAATGCTACAAAAGATAGATCAAATAATAAAACCAAGAGCTCAGAGAGAAGCAAACAATCTCTAAAGTTTCGAGATGAATCAGGCAGGTGTAGTCACTGCCTTAAAAGTAGAAACAAATTATTGTCAAGTTTCCTGACTTGTATAATATACAAGTATCTGTTCCAAGCCCTCTCTCGTGTAATATGACAATGCTAGATTGCCATCACAATCTAGAAAGCCAAACAAATCGAAGGAGATAAAGAAGCTTCAAAGGGGGATATAATAACACAAGCATATATTTTACTACCAAAGAATGACAATTTCTACAGATTACTTAAACCAATGAAATGAATTAATCAAGAACTGTTAAACTCACAGAAGCAAAATGGTTAACGTCCCGATGGTGGGCTTCATCTGCACGGATAACAGTAACAACATCTTTCAGGGTTGCATCCTTAGGCAGTCTCCAGTAGTCAATTGCAATAACAGGAGCTGGAACATTCTCAATTGCCCCACTATTAATATCCGTCAGAAATTCTGTATAAGAGTGTATAGCTTCTTCTTCCAGATACCCGACAATTCTGTGCGCCAGCTTGGGAGATAGAACGTAAAGCACAAAAAAAACATTGAAGAAGACTCCCTGAACAGCAAGAACCAGCAGCCTTTCATACCATTTGGGTTTCACAAGCTCTACCATGGTCATTAGGTGCATCCTCTCATTCTCAGCTTCTTCAAGTAATGCCTTGATCCAGCCGCCACTTTGCTCAAACTTGCGCAAAGACCTCAGGTGCAACAGCATCCCTCCCACCATACCAGGAACAGCAGCCACAGTTTCAAGCATCATTGCACGACAGCCATACCTCCTCTGCATCACATGGCACGAATTGTTACCACCTACTAGAACAAGCAGAACAGAGAGGCACCCAACTGATAGGCAACATTTATTACTCAGCCACAAGGGAACTCCAAACAAAGACAATATTGAAGCAATGAGAATGAAAGGAAACAAAGGCTGGAAAAAGAAAAAGAAAAATGCTTATAAAGAATTAAACATGCCCCTATCCATCTAAGCATTCGAAACAATATCATTACTACTGTGGGTGAATATATTTCATAGTATATAACTAGGAAGACATCATTAAACAAATCACTGAAATATATCATACATTTTTTCCTTGTCATCTCTGATTCTCATTCCGTAGGACATAATTCAGTGACTTGATGGTAGGTCAGTCGGTACGATGTCTGAGTTTCGTAAAGACCCACTTCAGGACTACCTTAATGCACAGGCTAGGAGCACCGGCTGTGCATTCTTTGCTCAGCATATTTAACTTGAAAACAACTGTGTCATATCAGTATTAATCTTCTCTAACCATTTAGGGTCCTATTGCCCATCAACTCACGAAAGAGCATTCAGAAGTAACATGCATAGAACATGCTAAATCATCTAGAAATCAGCTTATTACACCAATATTTAGATTGTTGGTCTAAAGTGTAAAGACATATCATCTCTATTATAATCAACATAATAGTCTGCGTTTCAAAATAACGGTGAGTAAACGACATGCTCAGTCATGTTTGGTAGACCTACCCTTGGAAGTATGAGAACTGGGATCTTTGACAATACATAGTCTCCAGTTAGAAAAACAGCTGCTTTCTAACTGTTTATCAGCACCTATGGGCACACATTCCACTATCATGAGACTCATGACAACAACTAACCATGATCTTCCTTGAATCAATCTTCAGTAGTTATTTTTGCAATAAAGAAACAAGTTAATGGAACAATAAGGCACCTGGAAAAAAATATCCGTAGGAATTCTAAGAATCTTCACAGTCCTGAAAGCAACTTTGTCAATAAAATTTTTGGGCTTGTGATGCTTCTTCAGATCAATTGTCAAGTTGGAATGGTATGTTTCCCAAGGCTGCAAAAGAAAAGGCAAATTGAATGTAAGTAAATGATATTATACATTAAGATTGCAATGGTGCAGATACAAAAATGATGGAAAAACAAAACACATATGAAGACCAAAAATGCAAAAATGCAAAACAAAGCTAGATACTAATCAAAATTATGAGCATTGCAATCTTTTAACTCTACAAACAACAATGTTAGATACTAATCAACTTTATAGATATTGAACAATCTTTTAACTCTACAAAATGCAAGAACTATAGACCTGGCATGTAGGACTTCAAAATTGAGTTCTACATATCGATAGGCATATTCAAGGACTTCTTGATGATGACTTGTTTCCTCAATGCTGAGAACTTCAATTTTTCTTTCCTGTGCATTTCTTCCTAATTTAGTACTTTCAGAAGGAAAAAAGCCACACGGAAAAAAAAAAATCACCAGTAAGCAATAGTGGATATTAAATGACAAGGTAACCTAATGATAATTGCAGAATGAAAGAGTTCATACTCTACTCAACTGAATCAAACAAATATTAGCAAGATTCTGTAAGAAGAGTAAGTGATTTCTTTCACACTTACTTTATTCGAGTAGACACGAGCACAGTTCAAACTATTAGTGAAAGCACATTCTAGAGACCTCCTTCAACATAATGACCAGCTAAATGATCGGACTACAAATACGTAGCCCAATTACAGATGCTTGAGCTTAATAAGCTGAATAGAGATCATTTACTAGCATAATTCATGGTATGCTAATACACCTTTGCACGTGATACTTATGCTTCTTCATAGATTTATCACATTCTATTGAGATAGAGGTAACAGTTAGCTTGAAGGCGAATTTCCAGGGGAAATAGGTATTCATTCTGTTACTTGTGGCAAGAGGCATACTCAATGGTTCAAGTAAAATTAAGCCAATCACTAATTTGAGAAATGAATTCAACATAGGTTTTGCACAATTATGTTCATGCCCAAAACAAATTCAGTTTAAATTTTTCAATTCAAGTTAATGGCATCAAATACTACAATCTAAGAAGCACAAAATTTTTAATACAAGCTGATTTATGATCTTGTATACATTTTCCTGCTACTGTTGTTAACAATAAGTATTTGTTGGTCACGCATAAGAACAAAATTACCAAATATCTCCCTGCATATTCCTAGTTCAAGACCCAGTCTTAGGCCCCACCAATTAGGAAAGTAGACTTGCATCCACTATTACAAAATTTTCAGATCTAGTTCATGTGACTGAGAGGTAAGTTTCTCCACAGCATTCCAGGATTGATGTATATGATCAAACTCATTCGAACAAGTTTCAATCCGAACCAATCCACCGTGAACTCTTTATTAAATCAGCCTAAATTGGTTTATTTGATCGTTAATGATATCATACTCAATTTTTATCAGGTAATCGTACTTTCCACCCAACTAGCTCACAGCCGTATCATATCCCATTTTCTTTCTCATCACAGAACTTTATTAACTTTTCCTCTAGAAACTGAAAGAGAAACGGAACAAAGAGAACAATAACATAACAATTTCTCAACCGGTAGAGATGTAACAAAAACCTACAATACGATCTAAAGAAATCCTCAAAATAGTTCGCATTTCCAATAGGGAAAAAAAAAATTCAGCAGCAGAATAAAGAACAGAGGGTAAATTAATTAACAGATGGAGAATGAAAACTAGTTATTTCAGATGCGAATATTCGAAATTCTTTTGGATATTCCTCTTTATATCTAAAGCATGAAACGACCTAGATAACAAAAATGCCACCGCCAATCCAGAAACTTTAAAAATTGAAAAATAAAAAATCGCCGTTCCGAAGTTATATAACTTTGTGCATTAATCTTTGGTTTATTCACACAATTACCATGTTTGCACAGAGTTCCTTTATACTCTTATCCACGAAAACAAGTATTTATGTAAAATAGTATGTAGAATCTATACCATGAAGCAGTTCCAAGGCCAATCAGAGCCATCTTCTCTGACGATCTTTTTCTTAGAAATGCCCCAATAACTTGAAACCATCATTTCGTCGTTCTTTTCTCCCATCACCGCAGCTTCACCACTCTCTTTCTTCTCCTTCTCTGGCGGGGCTGCATGCTCCGGTACCGAGCTCACCATCCTCCTCCACTGACCAACCAAAGCCCCCAAACCTTGGCCCCTAGCCACAGCAACGTCATCCCACGGCTTCACAACCGCCATCGTCGCCCCTGCAGCTCCGGGAGTCACTGACAGCGACGACGGCAGGTACCGGCCACAGTTACCGCCGGCAACCAAACGCCTTAGTGCTAACCTAGTCAACAGGTGGCTCATTTTCGTAATTACCGCACGGCGAACTCAGGATTGCTTTTCCTTTCACTGGCGTAGTTTGTGGGTTGAAATTGAAAATAAGAACTTCGATCATGGTGGGACGCGACGGTTGCTTTTGACGTTGTTGTGAAATGACTGGAGAGCCCATTGTTGCAAAATGGAATTCCCTAGTCTAACGGAATTTGCCTTTACTTTTTATCCAAGTTTATGGGCAATTTATCGATGTGCTTGACCGTAACACGCGGTCACCACATCATGGTGACACGTAATAAGAAAGTGGCACTGAGGATTGGCCGTGACATAGCAGAAATGCAAAGCTAGGTGAGAATAACAACACACGATCATCATCTCTGTCCCGCTGCGGCTGCGGCTGCCGGACAAAGTGATTAGCAGGTGAGATTAGCGATAAACATTTGTGATATTCTTACAAAGAAACAGACATACTAAATTAGTAAGCTTATGGCATAACAAACTTTCCCATGAAAAAAATCTTTTTCTTATTTTATGTTCATGGTTGTATTTTTTGACAGAAACTTGTGTTTATAATCATGTTCTTTGTTTTTTCGGTCAGACACAATAATGACTGAGAGTCTACTGCTAACAATAATTGTTCTCAACTTGTTATGCAATTCTTTTTTCAGGCTTGAGTCCTTGTGTACATTAGTTCACAATTTTGAGCACGAGTTAAAGATTAAGTAAATAAACAATGCACTAACAGGTATTCAATAAACACTCGTTAATAGGGGTTTTAGATGTTATTTTTTTGAAAAAAATGTCATTAATTTAGAAAAATAACTAAATGTGGCAGATGTAATAATTATGATTATGCGTGTTTACGTGATAAGTTGAATCCATTTTAAATGTACTGAGACACTTATTAGAAAATTTTAGAAAAATTTGTTCAACACGTCATTCGTATTTTGTCAAATGAATTTTTAAATCCTTCATTTTTAAAATATTAACTTTACGTCTCTTACAAATGTAAGTTAACGAAGTTTGATCCCAATCTAAAAATTTCACCATTTTTTATTTTGAAATCACTACTGATCCATATGCTATCAATTTTTTTATATTTAAAAATAAAATGTCAGATCTCATCTTTTTAGTGGCGAAATTTGAATATATATTGGGTTAGATCTCACTTTTTTAGAGCATAAAATGAATATAATTTAGGTTATATCTTATTTTTTTATGAACAAAAATGAATATGAATTAGACCATTTATTTAATTGTAAATGGGACCTAATCTTTTTTACCCTAAAAACTGACCATACACAGGCCACATGATGAATTAGGGTCAAATGTAATTGAAAACTTCGATTGGACCAAATTTTGTCGAATTGAGTTTGTAAGAGAGGTAGCAATTTTAAAAATGAAGAACAAAAAAAAATTCATTCAACAAAATATAAGTGATATTTTAAACAATTTTTTTCAAAATTTTATAAATAAAAAAGATACAGTTAAGAGTTTTCCATTCCGTTGGGTCATGTACCTTACCAGGTTGAGAGCATCAATGACTCTTTTAATTTCATGCAAAAATAGACATTGGCACAAAACAAAGCAACCATAGTAAGCAATCAACGAGGTAATTGCAGTTAGGGCTGCAAACGAGCCGAGCCGAGTCGAGCTTTGAGCTAATCGAGCCGAGCCTCGACTAAATTTTACCAAGCTCGAGCTCGACGAGCCGGCAAATTTCGAGCTCGAGCTCGAAAAAAAATAAAAAATAAATATTTTATTTAAAAAATAAATAAATAAAATAATATTTTTTTCTTAATAAATAATAAAATTTTAAGGACATATACGTAATTTTACTATGAAAATAAAAATAAAAAAAATATATATATACGTAATTTTATTATTAAATAAAAATAAAAATAAAAATAAATATATATATACCCAAGCTCGCGAGCCGGCTCGCGAGCTAACGAGCTTAATATTCTGAGCTCGAGCTCGAGCTCGAGTTTGACTCGAGCCGGCTCGAGCTCGACTCGAGCTTGACTCGAGCCGCTCGCGAGCGGCTCGATTCGTTTGTAGCCCTAATTGCAGTATGTAGGAATTAGCCAGGTGCATTTAGAGTCAAGAATCTTGAACTTCTCTTTCATTTTTTTTTTTTCAACAAGTTGCCAAATAACTCTAGAAATAATTTCCTTAGGTCAGGATGCCCTGAAAATCCAACTCAGAGAAAAATACTACCTATTGGGAGGTACACAATACATTTTGGGTATACATACGTGTATGTATGCAGCCTTACACACAAAAAGTGGGAAAGGAAAAAAACAACTTCCAATTCCCATATTAAAAAAGAAGAAATAATTGTATTTTTTGGTATCAAATGTTTCAATCTCTAAGCACATTTAGTTATATTGACTAATTTTCACCAATTGCTACCAGAATTTGGTCACATGCTGTTACATTTCACCAACTATTTTTTTTTTAAAATATTATTGGCCATATTTATAGTAAATTATTCGCATACTGATCATATGAGTAATTAATCTTTAACCCATAAATACAAAAATTTGGTTAACAAATAAAAAAGTTAAAAACTAATTACTCACGTGATAAACATATGAGTAATTAGTCATTTTTTTTTATTATAGGTTATGGCTAGTAGGAGTAATACTTCATCATTTTTTAAAAATTTTCAAAAAATATTAATTGCTGGTGTGTGGCCTACTCCCGGTAATAATTGGTAAAAATAAAGCATTAGGACAGAACGTGCATGGAAACTAAAATATTCGGAACTACATTTGCTTTCATATAAATTTTAGGGACTAAAAGCGCTTCTGTCCCCAACATTTTACATTTGGGATTAAAATTGTAATTTTCTCAAAAAAGAATGAGAGAATTGCAATGATCCTTTTCTTGAAGGGCAATTATCCTTTTCTTCTTCTTCTTTTTTTCTCCCCCTTTTTAGCTGGGGAATGATCCTATAAGACCGCTGTATAAAACTAACATCGAGAGACGAGATAAGTCGAATTTTAGGAGTAAACTAGCATTGAACGCACAAAGAACTAATTAAATAGTTTACATGCATGAATAACTAAGAAGACGTATAAAATGGGCAAGAGTTCATATGCATTTACTGCTTCAGTTTAGAGGCACAAAAGAAAAAATGAATGAATACGTGTGTCGCGCCCCATTTTTCGCGATGGAAAATAAATATAAAGGTGGTTTAGAAAAGATGTGATCTTATTTTAAAACAAGTTAAAAGGGACCTAAAATGAGACTTAAAAAAATGCGACAATTTGGGTCCAAAATTTAGTCTAAAAGGGTTTTTAAGAAAAAAATAGGAGTCGCCACTTGGTATGGAGTTTTGGTGTACCAAGTCACCCAAAAAATATTTTTTGACAAAAATAAAATAAATCAAAACCCTTTTTGACAACTCCAGGTCTTTGAAAACAAGAGAAAATAGGTTCGGGAGTCACGGTTGAAGAAAGGGAAGGCAAAGGTTTAATTGACTCAAACCTAAGGCACCCTTTCAACCTAGTCTAAGCTAGTTGCGAGATTTAGTCAAAATTTTCCTAATCTAACCCTTAATTTATCACATTTGGATGTTTCCTACATGAATGCAAATCTAAATATAAAAAAAATATCGAAAGGGGCAACATGTTCATTCAAGGGTTTAATTGAACCAATCGCATTAATTGCGAAGGCCAAAATGATTCCTTGAAAGTGTCACGAGTATGTAAATGATGAAATTAAAATAAAATAAAATAAATTAAATTATATACATATATAAGTGATCAAAGAAAAAGGGAATGCAACATGAAGGGTATGGGAGGCAAAAACTCGTGACATAATTTTCTTATACAGGGATTAATGGGGCATTTAAACTAAAAAGTTATAATCACTCATTTCCCATATTTGAAAAATAATTCTCCTAATATGCACAAACAAATGAGCTAACTTATTATATAATATCCTAAATGAAATGCAATTCTAAATGACATGATTAACACATATAGAGGATAGGGGATAATATAATAGGAAATATCATGCAAATGGGAAAAGATCGTAAAAATGAAAATATGCGTGAAAATGTAATGAATATCACACAAAAATGAATCTAACGCACGAACGATCTAAGGGTCTAGCGTTGGACTAACCCATTTCTAAAAATCCTTACTAGCGTTGGACTAGCAAGTAAACGGAGGGAGAAACCACAACTAGCGTTGGACTAGTGTGGTGACGTCATGCATTTTTAATACATAATAAGACAAGTAGACATAAATTAAAACAAATAAACACATAAGAGCACGTAGCACGTAACACATAAGCATAATATCTAGATGCAAAAATCCTAAGGAAAGCAAGTAAGGCACGTAACACATAAGCCACATAAGCACACAACCTATCTATTACATCGGGGAGCGCCTAACTACAATCTAAAAGGGGAAATAAAATAAAACAAATCTAATTATCCTATCTATTACATTTTTGAGGTATTTAAATGCCTCTCAAATAATTATAAAATTAACTAAAAAAGTATAAGAAAATTTAAATGATCATTCAAATCAAATAAACAAAGCATATAAAAATATATAAACATATAGGAGCACGTAAGAGCACATAAGAGCACGTAATTAACATTGAAATAATAATAATGAGGTACCTCCCTTTTGAAGTGGTGACTAAATGGAGTCAAATTGTCCTATTTATACTCACAATGAACAAAAGAATCATGGCACCAATTTAATTTTAAAAAAAACAATAATAATAAAAGTACTAAGCTCACGCTAATATGTCAAACATAAAGAAATTTAAAATATCTAAAAATTACAAGTTGAATATGTTCAAAAGTAACATAATTAGTTATTGAAGAAAAGAAACAATCATAATAAAGAGAGCCAAAATTTGTCAAGGACTGAATTACAAAAATTGAAAACTTTTGGGGGACAAAAATTATATTTTCCAAAGTTCAGGGGTCCAAATTAAATGAAAGATAAAATTCAGGGACCAAAGTGAAATTAATTTAAGGACCGAGTTGAAAGGAATTTAAAATGTTCTGGGCCGCAGTGAAAGTACTTGAAAGTACAGGGACTGAAGTGCAAGTTCGTTTCTGATTTGGGCAAGAAGAGGGCATCGGGCCTCCCTTTTTATTTTACTTGGGCCAAACCTACCTAAGCCCAACTGAAAACCCAAGCTAAAACACACAGGCCAGCCCGTCTTTTATCACTCAAACCCAACCAAAATATATGGACTCAAAACTCTTAGCCCAACAGAAACCCAAAAGAAAATAAACCAAAACCCATTTTCATAACCCAACCAAAACTAACTCTTGGCCCAACCGAAATAAAACATTAGCCCAAACCCCTTTTTTCTTTCTTTCTTTTCTTTCTCTTTTCTTCCCCATACGTTTCCTTTCCTTCTTCTTCGGCCAACCGAAGAAGCTTCAGCTGGTAGCCATGGTGGCGGCGCCACCGGACCGCCGGTCACCGGCGACTTTTCCAGTGGCCAAAATTTCTCAAAATACACCTCTCCACTCCATTTTTCGCGTAGGTTCCATTTCCGGAGTTAATTTTTACAAAAGATGACCCGAAGGTGGCCGAAAAGCAAAAAGCCAGTCCAGTTTTTTATTTTTTAAAACACTATAATCTTCACCAAAAATCTTAAAAATTATGCCAAAACCCTCCTTATAACTTCTACATTACAACTATAATCTAAGTTGAACAAGAAAACAACATAAAAAGGCTGAATTAAGGCAAAACAGTCCCTAAAATTCTTTTTGGCATTTTTTCAAACAATTAACATGCATTCACAGAAATCATCTTTTCCTTAATGTTTATTCATGGCTTTACCCCAAAATTTCAACAACACCAGCAGCAACAACAAGAAAACAGCAGGAACAACCAATAATACATGAATTCAACACGATAAAGAAAAAAAAACGGGAAATAGTTCAATGGAAGTGTTGATACCTCTTATGACCTTAGTTAAAATTGTTGATGAAATTCCAATCTCCTCGCGTCCGATTGCTTGCTTTCTTGTGCTTGATTCTGTGTGTGTATATTAGGAAAAGAGAGGGAGCCGAATGGAGAGAGGAGTTTTTCTTTTTTTTTTCTTGTTATGGCTTGTCTTCTGTCCTGTGGGAGAGAGCCGAGAGAGGAGATTTTTGTAGCCAACAGTAGAGCCTTTTTTGTGTGTGTTTTTTTTTTCTCCTTTTCCCCAGAGAGAGCCGAGTGATGTCTTGACTAGGAGTGTTAAGTTGGGCCAAATGATGATTTTTTTTCCAAAGACAAGAAGTATGCATGGGCTATCAATGATGAATTTTTTACCAAAATGGGAAGAAATGTTAATGAAGATGGAGTGTAAAAATGGGTTAATAGTGGTTCTGATGAAACAAAATGATTAGAATGATTTTTTTTTATTTTCTTAATTTTCCTTCTTTTGTTTTGTTTTGTTTGTTTGTTGTTTTTTTTTAATTTTTCTTCTTTTCCTAAAACAAACCTGCAAAAATGAGAAAAATGTAAATTTAAATGCAAGAAAATAAATAACTCATTAAATAGAAAAATTTTGAAAAAATATTAAAAATTGACAAAAATTTGGTGTCTACAACGTGAATTCACAAGAAAACAGGGAATAGTTTTTGAAACCACAACAATCAAAAGATTGAATACAGTGACTCAAAGAACAAGATAGAAAATTGAGTAAAGCGCGACATAGGGTTCAATAGCTATGCAATTGTATGGCACGAATCCACTACTGCAAACTAACAATTGTTGAAGTCTCGAATCTTAAGTATATCTCGTCAAATAGCCTAGCAATTCATTCATTCTTTTTTTAAAGGAAAAGGAGTAAAAATTGTAAGTAGATATTTATCAAAAATAGTCACTAAACTTTTGGTTACTAAACTTTTGATTCAACTAGAATAGTTATCTAAGTAATAAAAAAGTGTAATTTTTGATCACTCAACTAATATGAAGTTATATCTTTTAGTCACTCAGCTAATAAAAAGTAATAGTACTTTTTAGTCACTCAACTAATCAACATGCACGTTTTCAGTCCCAAAATGTAATTGATTTAATGTTATATATTTTAATTGATTCAATGACCACTTTGGGTAAAATAAATTTTTTACTGTCCAAAGTAGATAACTCTAAATAGTTGAGTGATAAATTATGCCACCTACTCTTTGTAAGTATAACATGACAAAACGAGCAAGTTCCATCGAAATATTGTCAAATGGAATTTCCTTTTTGTTTTCCGGGGGTCCTCAACTTTCGGATTCTTTCGAACCAAACAATTAACGAAATTCTCGAGGCAAAAATTTTTTTAAACGAAATTCTTTAATTGGTCACGTGCATCGAATCAGAAAAAAATTTAAGGGAATCGCACATGCACTCATGGCACACGTCGGTACACTGAAATAATGCGAAGATCAATCTAATGACATTGACTAAAAGGGAATCCTCTTGGGGCGTTTCGAATGCATGATAATTTTCTTTTTTTGAACATGTAAATTGATTGAGAACAAACAATTGGTGAAAGATTCAAGTTTACAAGATGAATGAAAAGTTAAAAAAGCATGCAACTATGCTAAGTAATAACTAAATAAATAGTTGTTGATTAGATAGACGGACAACTTTCTTAACTAACAAGGCTTTGTGTGGATTGCCTTTTTTTTTTTCAAAAATTATGTATACTTTTGTAAACATATTTTTTAATCAAATTTTCACGTCACTTATATTATATTATTACAGTATATTTTTTGACAAAAATTTTAGAAAATAGCAATCTAAATGGGCTCTTAGTATCTAAAGAAGCATCGCTGACGAACAAATATCTATGCGTGCATGTCAATGGAATCCATTTGTATTCATGAAAGGTGGCCGTCCAAGACATGGGAGAAGCCAAACACAATACATTCACAACAGACAATGCTTCAAGTACAACCTATTGCATCCATTCAACAAACAAGTTTGGATTCCACTTGGATTTCTCAATTTTTGAAAAAACAATATTACAATATATTACAAATTTACAAATTTTCATATACAATATTGTAATATTATACAAGCAAAAACAACTTAAAAAACATCACATTCATACAATATATAAAAAACAATCCTAAATATACAAAAAAAAAAACACACTACCACTATCATCAATCACAAAAAACATAACACCACCCGTCGCCCATTCTCCCATTCCCATCCCTCCTACTCCTCCCTCTTTCCCCTTCTCCCTCTTTCATTTTCCTTCCTCTTCCTCCCCTTCCTTCTCGTCCTCTTTCCTCTCCACGTGCCTCCCACTACCCCCGTTCCCTCTCTCTGGTCGCGGGCCATGGCGACCAATTTTTGGTCCTGACTCACGACTAGATTTGGGCTGGCGACCATTTTTTGGTTGTGACCCATAACCAAAGAATGGGGGAGGGGGAGGGGGTGAGGTCGTGATGGGTTGTTGTAAAATTTTATAAAATTTTAAATTTTAAAAATATCTCAAAATATATTTTCAAAAATACCCCAAAACACTATTAAAAGTATGATTACGGTAAAAGTTTTTCACTTATATTACTATAGTAAAATATTTTAAAAATACTCAAAAAAATAGTTAGCCCAAATGTAGCCTTACATTTTTTTGCAGAAATAGGTATATGAGTGTATAAGCGCGTGTGTGTTAAGTCTCAAAAGTAAAAGAAAAATATGGTTCGATCACATCCATCAGATGAAGAATTTATACAAGCAATAAACGTAGAGAGTGCTAATATGTTTGTTACGCATCACCTAAATAAGCGGATTTATTGAAAGTACTATAGCACCCTAGTCAAATAATGAACCTTTCAATTAACAGATGTAAATTAGGGGTGCTAAAGTCTTTTCATAAAAAAATTATAAAATAAAAAATCAATTGCATTTTAATGGACTTAAATAATAAGCCAAAATTGAATAAAAGGTACAAAACTATTGAGGTTGATAGTTTAGTTTGGGGAGGGGGGGTGTGGATCGGTGAAAATTTAAAATGTTAGGCCTGTAATTCCATGGAATTTTTTTCTAGAATATCATCATCTTAACACATTTTGTTAACAATTTTTTTTTGTGTTGCTTAGGTCGTATTTAAAAAAAAAAATAAAATTACACCGTTATTTTTGTAAAAAAATACAGACAAAAAAGTGTGCGCAACACAATTATCCCCATTCTGTAGATGCAAAATGAATAACACATTATGGCAACCAAATTGAGCAGCTCATCGTTGACATCTGCGCGTCCATTGTCTATGATTTTGAGATCCTCAGTTTGAAATTGCACAAGAGTTGAGAAAATGTGAACAATGATGGTTCATGGTGGATGGCCCGAAAGCGGTTAAGAAAAATAGAAAATGCAAAAAGAAGTTGAAACCGCGGAAATGAACAGAGAGATTCGATACTGGAACAGTCGGAACCGCGGAAATGAACCAGAAGGACCATAATGGATGCGAAACAGGAGGGCGTCGCAAGTGGGGTCTTGCATGGTTCAAATTAGTTGTAGTCTTTTTGCGTAAATTCAAATATAATTTGAGTGTAAATGGATTTCTTACTCTATTCTATCCAATTATACATTAGCATGGGGCGTGGAAATGGTTCGATTTAGATTTGAATTTGGGTAGGATTTTGAAATATCAAATCTTATCCATACTCACATCTTTCTTTAAGGATAGTCACGATAATTTGAATTTGAATAGGATCTGAATTTGAAAAATTAAATTTAAATGCGATCCAAATATATTGAATTTAAAATAAGGCCCGCCCGACCCACTTTTCTTCTAGTACTTTCTACGGAGGAGTTTGCATTGGCATGTATTAGCTCCGCATCCAAAGGCTAGAAAGTTGAGGATCACAACCGGTGCAGTTACATCCAGGAGTTGGGTTGCCTGAGGGCAAATCATCAAAGCTACCATTTTCAGGCTCCGAGGGTCAACACGTCATTCGTCACCACCTGCCCCCACCACTTTGCGTTTACCACACTTGGGACAGTCCCTCTCAAGACTTTATAAAAAAGGACTTTAACCTTCCCATTTCCTTCGTTTCCTTCATTTTTCTTCCTTCCAGAAGTATACTGTATCCGTACCACTCCTCAGCGGACTACAGTAAAGTAAAAACTTATTCAAAATCAAATCACATCACATTCCTTTTCATTCTCTCTCTCTCATCACTCATCAGTCATCAAATCATCATTCCCCTGGCTGTTTATTTTTTAGTCCTAGTTTTTATGAATTTACTAATATTATGTAAGCTGACTCGGTTAGGGTTCATCCGTCGCTGATTAAGTTCTTTTCTCAATTCATGGCCGGGAGCGGATCGCAAAACCTAGGGTTTCGATTTGGTACGATTTCCAGCTCGTCTTTGCTGAGCCGCCAGATTAGTTACTGCTAATTTTTGTTTGATTGGATATTATTAGTAACTTCTTGTGTATGGATTTATCCTTTACGGAAGGAAGGGGAAATTGAAGTTTAAATTGGGGAAAGTCAAATTGGTGGTCAAACTAGTGAATTGGGGTGAATTGTTGTAAGCTAATTGGGAATTGTTAAGCGAACCTTTTGGATTCAGGTTTTAGCTTGGATGTTTCCAAACTTTGTTCACTCTAGTATGGCATTTTTTGAAGGTTTGTTTTAAGTGTTTGAATTTTGCTTTGTTTGTCTAGTGAGCTCAGAAATGTTTAACTGCCAAGGTGATGTTTGAGCTAGAGTTTTGTTTGGCATGGTTGGGTTTTGTCTACAGCAGTTTTTTAGTTGTATCGTTATCCAACGCAGGTATGGGAGTCTCAGTTTTGGGGTAAATGTAGATATAAAGGTTCATAAGAAGTAATTGCGTAGGGGAGTCTTATGTTACTCTAATCCATCCAATGATAGATCCTACTGTGCCCCGTTGGAAAAGTTTTTGAGATTGTTACACATGCCTTGGACTACCGCGCATTATTCAAAAATTCTCTTGAAATTTTACACTGGTTTCCCGTGAACTTATTTATGCTCTCAAAAAGTGGTGCAGACTGAAGAGAGTTCTTTTAGTTGTCTGACTTGTGCAGTTGGTCTGCAAACTTGTTTATACCTCATTGCTGTACTTATACTTCCATTCTCCAACATAATTTTCTGGTGGATGTGATTATCTTGGATGGATTTTCTAAACATTGTTCTTATGATGAATGACTCTTGGTATGCGCAGATATTAAGCAAATTTTATCAGAAGCACAGCACCGATGGCTGAGACCTGCTGAAATTTGTGAAATTCTGCGCAACTATCAGAAGTTTTATATTACTCCTGAGCCTCCAGTCAAGCCAGCTAGTATGTTTCTACCTTATGATCAACTATCAGTTGGTTTTGTTTAATCTTTTTTTATTTTTCCTTCCTTGTTTAATTCATGCTTATGCGTGACCATTTTTCAGTCAAAGCAGGAAGGGAGATACCTTCTTATTTGGTCTATCAAATAAAAGTTATAGGCATTTGGATGAGAAACACATTTCTACCGTGTCGGATTACATAGCTAGTTTTGATTTTTCGAATTCTTTGTGTGCACTGGACTTGTTTACAAAATTATGAGCTCTTCCTGTAATAATACGAGTTGGTTTTGGTCTGAAGCCTCCTTATTTATTCTTGATCTTCAATCAAATCACTTCAGGTGGATCTGTCTTTCTGTTTGATCGGAAGGTGCTGAGATACTTCCGGAAAGATGGGCATAACTGGAGGAAGAAGAAGGATGGTAAGACTGTGAAGGAGGCACATGAAAAGCTGAAGGTGAGTGTGGGGAAAATAAAGACTTTACCTATGATTATCATTTTGTAGAGATTTTCTTTTTGAAGCTATTATTAACTTTAGGGACATCTTTTGGAAATTATAGTGACATAATTGTGGATGAGTTCTTACTCAAGAAATCTAGATCTTTGACACAGTTCGGTAATCGGGGTGTTTTCTTGTCATCAAGAGATCTCTTATTCCTCTTTCAATTTTTTTAATCAGGTTGGGAGTGTTGATATGCTACACTGCTATTATGCCCATGGAGAAGAAAATGAGAATTTCCAAAGACGCAGTTACTGGATGCTTGAACAGTAAGTATAAGCCCAGCGAATATTTTGTCTATTAGTATGGTGTGTTTTGATCCAAAAGCATAGTTCGCTGCTCTATGTTCATGTTGTTTTTTCAGAATCTCTGTTCATGTTGTTTTTTCAGAATCTCTTTAGTATGTACCAGTGTTTTCACTTTCTGTTTACTAGATCGGCAGTTTTTTTTTTTTTTTTTTTTAAATACTAGATTGGCAGTTGTTTGTCCAAGTTAATAATGTGATTGATTTTGAAATGCTTATTCCTGCCTTTCATACAACACTTCTAAAATGATACTGAAGGATTATTTTAGTTCTTATGACATATGCATTAATGCAAGATGTTGGATTCTCTGTATTTTAGTTCTCGTATTCTGACATGCATATTCCTGCCTTTTGTACAACACTTCTAAAATGGTACTGAAGGATTATTTCAGTTTTTATGACATAGGCATTCAAGCAATATGTTGGATTCTCGTATTTTAGTTTCTAGATTTGCCTTCTTTATTGTTCCTTTTGATTGCTGATATCTGTCGTGGTCTACATATAAGAATCCTTTAACCCCTTTAAAAATTAATGCCTGTTAACCTTGGAGATGATTTGCTCCCAGATGTTTCTTATTGATTCTTCCAATGGTGCAGGGATCTCATGCATATAGTTTTTGTTCACTACTTGGAGGTTAAGGTAAGACTACATCTCTAAAAATGGAATTTTTATTCTCTCAGTCAAAAAGTTTCTCGGTATTCTTGATTGATGCTATTCATTTACCAAGTTGTGCGCTGTAGGCTAATTCTAGATGCTATGCAATGAGCTTAATTTTGTCTTTCTTTCATTTTGGTATTCGCCCAAATCCATCTGAGATTACAAACAAGCTAAGGTTGGATGAGACACTGGATGTCATGTCATGGTTCTTTCCTTGCATATGGAATAATGGTAGCGCATTGAGTTGTATTAGTATAAGATGTGGGTTCTGAGTGTACAAAATCTGTTGAATTATGTTAAAATGAATTTAACCCTTTTGTGGCCGCTAGTAAGCTTCAAACTTGGAACAGCAGCTTGCTTGTTGCTTCATCAAGGAAGAAGCTGCATGCCCACCCTCCCACTACATTACTAGTTCTGGATTTTTTCTTTCTAGGTATTTTGAAAGTATCTGAAGACACTCCTACATCATGTTAACCATAGCATGATCTCAGAGTGTGAATAAGCTTCCTTGGCATGTCTATTCAATTTGGCAAAGTTTTAGGAATTCAATTTGGCTAAGTTTCATTCCTCATTTAGTGGATTGGGTCTGTTCCTGGAAAGAGTCATGACTTTCAAATACTATGATAGCTGGGCCTCTAGCCTTTCGGAAGCCTATGATAATCATCCCATTAGCATCCAAAAGTTTCTTAGTAGATTTTGTTTGTTAGAGCTCTGAAGATATTGTCTACTGATGATAGAAATTTGAGGTCTGCCCTGCTGATTCTTATCATGCTGAATTCGTCATCCACTAAATGTATGATACCTATTGCTTCAAAGACAGTAGTAGTGACAAATTGTTCTATTTCCAATTTTTGCTTTGTCCTCTCAACTTCAGGGTAATAAAGCAAACATTCAATGCCTCAAGGATGCTGGAACAGTGTCATCTAATTCTCAAGATGACAGTTCGTTGTCCTTTGGTTCTCCTGCAAATTCTGACAGATTGGCTTCACCATATACCGACATGACGAGTCCTACAAGCACTCTAACATCTGCATGTGAAGATGCTGAATCTGGTAAATTGGCCCTTTTCTGAGATTTATGATTCTCGAATCAGTTGAGTAACTTTTTTAAATGGGACTTGTAGATTGGATTTTATAGCTTATCACACAATTGTAGTTTGAATTTGGCTTTGAGATCTCTGCTGATCTCTTTTTCTGTCTTCTTGCTCTGTGACAACTTAAATGTGACTAAATGCAGAAATTAATCACCCAGCAAGTTCCAGATTTCATCCATATCTTGAAACAACGCAAGAGGACTTCAGGGGGTTGGAGAATTTAGATGCTGGCTTCTCAAGCTCTTATAATGTGCTTCAGTCTTTGGGTATCTTTTGTGACTTACTAATTTCCTTTTCTTCTGATGTATTGCTTAGTGAATATTGGTTGATTTTAAAACACTTTCCAACATATAGGTGGTCAGCCTACTTCTTCGGCTTCAGTTCATGATGGATGCACTGTTGATCACCCCAAAAGTAATTTTGTACCTGGTGTTGAAAGAACACTAGATTCAGCATCTTGGGAAGAGGTCTTGGGGCAATGTACAACAGGTATCTGAGGTGTCAAGTTATCAACTCTATTTGTCAGTATTGATCCTTAGAAATTCCTTTAGTGAAGGGAATCAATATGTTAAGCTAAACGTTGGCAGGTATGGTTGGTGATGGACACAAGTCCTGGAATGCCCCAGCACACCAAGCAAATTGGCAGGTAGCAAACTTTTCATGACTTGAAACTGTGTTCTTTCAAGCTAATAATAATTTGCCTTAAAAACTTAATAATTAGTTTACAACTCCAAAAGTTCACTTGCTGCTTAACGTGAACAAAGAGTGGAATTAGAGCTGATCAAGGGTGTTAATAGACAAAACCTTTGTCAGCAATTTTAAAGTTTTCAAACCTATATTTGGTCAGAAATTTTAACATTTACTTTCCTTTGAACAGTCTCAGATGTTCACTTTTATTTGATGTGACATGATTAAACTTCCTCTTTGAATGGTAGGACTATGTCACTGATCACATATTTTCTGCATTATTTGTGCTGCTCTTGGTTTTGTTGGTTAGTGTCTCAGAACTTTTTTGTTCAGGATCGTCCTAATTTGTTGCTAGTTGTAGAGTGGCATATGGGAGGATAATTGTTTAGCATGAAACAGTTTTTCCCTTGATATGATGCTGGATGCTTTCACTAGAATCTCATTGGGTTACAGATTTTTCAGTTTTAAATTTAAGTGCTTGTTTATGCATTTCGATCCTTCCGGATATTGTCAGCTCATGTAGCCAAAATTAAGTCTCTGTAAAAATTAGTTGACACTTGTACTCTTTTGAGCTAGCCAAAATTCTGCAAAATTTGACACTTAATATGCTTCCATTATATTTGATATCTATGTTACCCCTAGTTTCTATAACTGCTTGGTCTGTATATTAGTGTTAAAACAAACTTAAAAGATTCTTAAAGCCTTCTGAAAATGCCTAATACGAATGCATTTGACCTAATTAACGGCATCAAAGTTGTATTTTCTTTTTTTTCCTCATTATGTGCCAAGTCATTTTTTCTGATAACTTGTGTTCCCTTTTCTTTTGAAACTTTACAAGTTTTTTATGTTGTGTCTTGGAACAATTTGCATCTTTGACTATTATTTCTCATCTAATCATGCATATTTACAAGCTTAGGTTATTGGCTTTTTGCTTGTTAGGGAGATTGTTTATCGCCCATGCAAGGAGTGCCACTTAGTCAGAATCTGATTCCGGATTCAGCTTATTATGGCAAAGGAAGTTTATGGGAGCAGAAATCTATTTCTGCACTTCTTCAATCTGCTGCAGATCCATTTTACATGAGGCCTGATGGGCAAGAAGACGAAGCTGTGGAAAGGGACGTACAAAAACTGCGACAAAATGTAGAAGCCGGATATATGATGAGTTACAAGGCTGAGACTAGTGTGCCTTCTGCAGGGTCTGGAAACTGTTCTTTGGTTTTGAAACAGCCACATCTGAGTGGAATCCAAGCAGAAGAAAGCTTGAAGAAAGTGGACAGCTTCTCCCGATGGATGGCTAAAGAATTAGGAGAAGTTGAGGAATTGCCTTTGCACTCAACCAATGGATACTCATGGAGTGTGATACAGACTGAGGATGTTGTTGGTGATTCCTGTACTCCCACCCAGCTGCAACTGGATGCAGACACATTAAATTTCTCACTCTCCCAAGATCAACTATTTAGCATCACTGATTTTTCACCAAATTGGGCTTACTCAAGGTTGGAGACCAAGGTACATAGCAATCATCGTTCATCTTGGTTACTTTTACGAAATAACTGGTTTGATAACAAGCAGAAATGGATGTTGCTTTTGCTTTACTGTCTGAAAATTTGTAGTTTTTGGTTACCATGGTTATTATCATGTGCCTTAACAATGACGACGTATATATTGGCATCTTTGCCCACCCCTCTCAACCTGAACCCTTTGCTAAGGGGATCAATAGGTTTGATGAGTTGTCTTAACAGATATTGATTGCTTAATTTCATATATTTGTAGTCAAAGATTTCAAGCTAATGGTTTTAATATCTAGGTATTTTACGGTTTCCACTTTGTTGAGCTAAGCATCAGCTTAGGACTTGACATGTTTGTTCTTTTAGATTGTCATTAGATTAATATGTCTGAAATTCTGAACAAAGCAGGTCCTAATTACTGGAAGATTTCTCAAGAGTGGACAAGAGTTTACAAGATATAAGTGGTCATGTATGTTTGGAGAACTGGAGGTGCCAGCAGAAGTCTTATCAGGAGGAGTTCTTTGTTGCCATGCGCCACCACACAAGGCTGGGCTTGTCCCATTTTACGTGACTTGTTCAAATCGGTTGGCTTGTAGTGAAGTACGAGAATTTGAATATCGAGCTGGACCCTCGCAGGAAATTGATTTTGCAGATATTCCTGGAAGTGATGCAATTGAGGTGCATCTCCAAAGACGGCTCGAGAAATTATTCTTGACAGGACCGATAGGTAGCACCCAGAGTGTCTCTGAAACTATTACTGACAAAAAAGAAGTTGTCAATAAGATATTTTTATTGATGGAGGCAGAATACAATCAGATGGCAACTCTGTCACCGAGGGATGTCTCCCCACCCAATGGAATAGAGGAGCAACATGGTGAAAAGCTGTTGAAGGAGAAGTTTTACACATGGCTGATCCAGAAAGTGACCGAAGGTGGAAAAGGGCCAAGTCTTCTTGACGATGAGGGTCAAGGAGTTTTGCATTTAGCAGCTGCTCTTGGTTTTAACTGGGCCATAAAGCCAGTCATTATTTCAGGAATTAGTATAGATTTTCGTGATGTAAATGGATGGACTGCACTTCACTGGGCTGCTCTATGTGGCAGGTAAAAAGGCTTTTGGAGTTTATTCTGCTAAACCAGAGACACCCCATGGGTCTTGTCTTTCCGTTTTTGTGTATAATTCAAATGCATGTAATCTATATTACTTGTTTTTCCTTTAATTTTTTTTTCTGTTATGAGAAGTGATGGTGCCTTGTCACTTATGCGAAAGTCAAATCTGACAGTGTCAATGGGTTTTTTGTCATGAAGTTTAAACACTAATTTTCTGTAAAATTTAGATTCATTTCATATTTTGCTTCCCAAAAGTGAGAAGCAACTGAAGAAATAATTTTTTGAAGTTTGATGTGAGCTAGTGTTTAGCTTTACATGGTTTTGGAGGAATGCTTTTTATATTTTCCCTCGCTTGTTTGACAGGGAGGACACGGTTGCTGTTCTGGTCTCTCTTGGTGCGGCTCCTGGAGCATTAACAGATCCATCTGCTGAACATCCTTTGGCCAGAACTCCTGCAGACCTTGCTTCCGCAAATGGACACAAGGGGATAGCTGGTTTTCTTGCTGAGTGCTCCTTGACAACACACCTTTCAACATTGACTGTGAAAGATTCAAAGGATGATGATACCTTGCAATACTCTGAAGCAAAAGCTATAAAAACAGTTTCAGAACGTGTTGCATCTCCAATTACTGAACAGGATGTGCCAGATTCACTGTCATTGAAGGATTCTATGGCTGCTGTATGTAATGCAACTCAAGCAGCTGCTCGGATTCATCAAATTTTTAGGATTCAATCCTTTCAGAGGAAGCAGCTTGATATTCAGCACATTAATGAGTCATCATCTATGGACGAGCATACTCTCTCTCTTATAGCAGCCAAAACAAGCAGGCTGGGTAAGAATGATTGGACTGCTCATGGTGCTGCAATAAGCATTCAGAAAAAGTTTCGTGGTTGGAAGAAGCGAAAAGAATTTCTAATTATTAGGCAAAGAATTGTTAAAATCCAGGTGGGTATTTCCTTTTTCATTTCTTAACATGTTGTTTTAACTTTTGTTTGGAAGAGCATAGTTCATTCTCTTCAAAAATAGCAAGAATATTTGGTCATGCACCCCAAATGAACTTTGGTAGTGTAAATTTTGATAGCAAATCTTTCATTGGTTCACTAAGTTTGTGCTTTCCATGGCTGTAAACTTTGCATTTCATTTTCCTCACAATTTAGGATCATGATTTGCTATAAAACTTGGCCTAATGTTCTGGGAAACTCGCTGGTTGAACAATTTGAACTGTTTTTGTTTGGGGGTAGGGGGGGGGTGTGTGTGTGTGTGGTGGTTTCGTGCTTCTAATTATCTTTAGTATATCCTCCTCGGTTCTGTGGGTTGGGACCTGTATGTACATTATATATCTTTCTTAAACATTTAGATATGACCAGTTCATTTTACCATGCACAAACCATGTGGATTCAGAACTCATTTCCTGTTTCTGTTGTTCTGGTGTAAAGGCTCATGTACGGGGGCATCAGGTGAGGAAGAAGTATAAAACAATAATTTGGTCGGTGGGAATCCTAGAGAAGGTGATATTGCGGTGGAGGCGGAAAGGGAGTGGTTTAAGGGGTTTTCGCCCAGATGCAGTTGCCAAATGTCCAAGCGCTGAAAACATGCCCAGAAAGGATGATGATTATGATTTTCTAAAGGAAGGAAGAAAACAGACTGAAGAGAGGTTACAAAAAGCACTTTCTAGGGTCAAGTCCATGGCTCAATACCCTGAGGCAAGAGCTCAATACAGAAGGCTGCTAACTGTTGCTGAAGGATTCCGCGAAACTGAGGTACTTAATCAACATAAATATGTTATATCCTTGTATTCGCTCGAACTTCATCATGAGCTAAATAGATCACTTTACCAAAGGAAGCTATCTTTTAAAACTGCAATTGGAGTTATCTTTTATACTTGTTTTGAAGTGGAGCACTTGTCCACTTTATTGTGGCAAAGGATGCTTGAAGCCAAAAAAAAGGAAGTCCCAGAAATACCCTTTAATAATGCACAAACACACTGAGCTCCCTTTAGCTCTGAAATCGCTGATAATGATGATTATCTTCAACAGGATACTTCCAACCCGACACTTAGTGGTTCTGAAGATGTGAGCTACGCTGATGAGGAACTATTTGATGTTGAAAAATTGTCGGATCACGATACTTTCATGTCCATGGCATTTGAATGAGCCTCGAACACAAATTGTGCCTATTATTGACGCTGTATTTATTGACTGCGCTCGGTTCATTGATGGAACGCTAGTGCAATGGTTCAATGTATGTAAATATGTAGTGTATAAAATCAACTGCTACTTTTTGCTCTCTCTTTTTTTTTTTTCTTTTATAGCTTTCACGTAGACCATCGACTGTAATTTTTCATGGTTTGAGGATTAAGTTAAAAATCATTCTGCAATTCTAGTCTCAAGTGCGTTGTTAAGAGTTATGAAAACGAAGAAATATTTATGAAGGATAATAATGAGATTTTGGAATTAGTTTGTTGGTTGGTTAGTTTAATACCGTGTTGTATTATGGAGTTTCGAGGATTTTGGGGTGTGATCGATTCTAACACAATTCTCAGGTGGTATGAACGCTAAAGGTACGCACGGTACAAAAGTAAATTAGGGAAAATGTTGGAATATGCAACTTTTTCTACATATTTTGCTAGATTTTGTTTGATATCAAAATAATTTAGTTATTAAAAAATAAGGATATTTGTTAACCAAAGATCATGTTGGTTTGTTAACAAATATTTTAGATAAGATTTGCTAGTAGTAGAAGATTATATTTTGTTGAGATTTTTAGGATAATTATTAGTTGAATATTTTGCTAGTTTGTTTCATATAATCACTATAAATAGTGAGTTGATGAATGTAGAATATAAGCTCATCTTCCATCTTCAATACAAGTCTCTTATAAGCTTTTTTTGCAACACTAAGGTGTTGTTTCTTAGTTTATGTCCCAAAAAACCAACAGAAAACGATGGATTGTACTTAAAATCATGAATGGTGGATCTGGTTATTTCGAGAGTCCTAATGCCCAGTGGTGTGGTCACTGACTGACTGACTGATTACATGCATAGGATTTCTATACCTCTTTAAGATTTTTAGCTAGTCGGTGGTTTTAAGGCAAAAGACGCTTTCGAAAAAAAAATAAAAATTCAAATCAAGTTTCTTTCATCTTTCCCTTGGTTTTATGTAAGAAGAGGTGGGTGGGATTAGGATGTTAGAGATAATAAAAGTAGAGGACTTGAAGTCACAAACATGGATGAAAGCATCGGTATATACAAACGAGAAGAAATCTGGAAACAAGCTACTAGGATATTACGAAAAGCCACTACAGTGTGACTACTACCTCCTTTTGACATGGAAGGGAGAAGGCTACGTTTGTGGTTTCTTTTAAGGATGGTGAACCTCATCAATTCCAATTCAGCGTCTCGAAACAATGCAAGCCATCAAAAGCCGGAGAGAATCCCAGGAATGATTTCTTGTGGCTACTGGGGTGGTGGTGATGGTCAGTACCCTTATTCTGGACCTCGGTGGCAGCAGGTTTTCCAGCCACCCTTGCTGCAGTATTCTTCCCGCTGCTTTTGTAGCTATCCATCTTGTTATTAAGCTTGGGCAGAGGCAACACAAGTTCGTCGCCAAAGTAGTCGGCGCAGATAACTTCCACTTCCACGGATGGATGTAACACCGACATTGTAAAACACTTGAGAGACTTTGGTTCGATGGATTGGTCTTCTTCTGCTGCTGCTGCTGTGATGAAAAGAAGTACTACGTGAAGAAAACTGGGGAAAGAGTACCTTTATACATAGAGAGGAGCTACGTACCAAATCCTATGCATATTTGGAGACTGAGTGAAATCATTTAGCAAGCTTTGGTTTCTGATGTTTCCAAATCTCGCAAAGGCACATCTTTGTTGTTGTTGTGCATGTAATGATCCAATTCCATGGGAACTTGCGCAATGTTGTAGGACGCGTGGCACCACGCAGAGTAGTGTTACTCGTTGCTTAAAGTAGTAGCAAGAATCCCTTCACATTATTGATGTGAGATTTCACTACAGGAGCAAATGCGTATGGTAGTTGTCCCCAAAAAAAAAGCAGCGTTTAGAGAACCATCAAGAAATCTGTATGTTATGTTGTCAATCGTTGATTCTTTTGGGTATCCACAATAACAATGAAAATATTAGACGAATCATGTACATTACTTATAGTTTTACGTCACTTTATACTTCATGCGTAACCTTTCAAATTGGAGTTGGAATTTTAACCTGGAAAGCATGTGCTTAAAGGTGCAAGATGCCTCATTTCAATTCTTTTCCCGGTGGCTCTAGGATCAAACCATGTAAAAAGGAGAACTAATTTGGAAAATTAAAGTCGGCTATAGTCCCTCTTGTTTACATTAACGCTTACCTGTCACGACTTTTAGTGCTTTCCGACTACGTTTTCATTCAATGATAGACCATATATATATATATATATAGGTTTCCTCAGCCCTCAGCAAGATGCATACTTTGAGAATGACTAAACAAATACCGGAGCCAAATTCTTCCTGGCGGTACATGCCTTTATACAGATGGGAAGATGCAACCGAGAATCCATCTTTTTTTTTGTCTTTTTCCATTTTCCTTTAAGTGGGGTGCTGTTCACAATTTAAGGGGCATAAGCCCCATTTATGCATTTGTATCAAAATGTACAGAAGCTAGATCAGCAAATAACGTGTGTGTAATGGAGTTGGGTGGGTTTCCAACAGTATCCCTGCAATCACCATTAGCAAACATGCTGTCATAAAAGGAGAGAAGAAAAAAGGTGTAGAAGAATAGGAGAAAAAACCAGACTTATTAGCAAAATTCTAGCCTAGAGACTCTCATTTTATGAAATACTACTATATATGCAAGACTATACCCATAAAAGGAAATGCATGATTAAGCCTGTGGCTAAATGAAATCCCGCAAGAATCTGACACAAATGAGAAACTCTCAGTTTTTAAGGTGTGGGATATGTAAAAGTTTCAGTCACCTAATCACCAGCAAACATCTGAAGACAGAGAGTATTCCTGTATCAAGATTTGCACTTGTTTTTATTGCGACAAATAGTTGTCCGGTATACATCGAACATCCACTCTACAAGCATCTAGTCTCTGAGCCGATTGAGCGTGATGGGTAACAAAAGGAGATCAAATGAGTAGAGGACAGAAAACACTTTGCTATAAAACGGCAAAAGTATATAGTCACTTGATTAGATGCCCTTTCATCAGCTCTTCTCATCTGAAGAAAGGCACTCATAGAAGAGGATGTATCCATGATCCGTATTGCTTGAGTACTCCTGAGCAGATCCAAAGAAAGTCTGAACAGCCGACTCATCAATCATCTCCACATTTTCATCATCAAAAAACAACCAGTGGTTGTGGCTTTTTACAAGACTAACATAATGCCCATGGTTGGGCCCACTCCCCACATGAACGACAACAGCAAACAAAGAGTATTCAGAATCGGCGTTTTCCACAGTGTTGCTCAGTTTCAGCTCTAGAGGGAACACTACGCGATAGGACAACTTCTTGTATCGACCAAGTTGTTCCATGTATTTGAAACGCTTCAGATGGATGACTAGAATTTGAGGTGGCTTTTTAATCTTCATCCTCTTTTGAGCCTCTTGCAGGCTAAATTGCAGAATGGAACACATTATTGCGTATTGCATGGATTCTTTTAATGAAAGAAAGCAAGCAGAGAGACCTACCTACTGCACTTGTCACAGAAAAACTTATCCTCCGCATTCAAGGTTTCTGTGGAACTGAAGTTTTTGAGACAGCTAGTGATAGAACTATTCTGTTCAATATCAAGGCTCAAGTCAAAGAATGTCTCATCCCTTGCTGTAACCGTCTCACACCTTAGACACCTTGTCTCATTGGTAAGTATTCCCTGAACAAGAACAAATAACAAACAATGTGCGAGCCATCAGTGCAGAGGAAAAAGGAAAAGTACAAAGATATCTCCCCTTTGAAGGACTAAACGCTGAATTTTTAGATAAACACACACCCCAGTGACTTAAAAATTAAACCTCATATTTTTTCCATCTAGTATCAGCGGACAAATAGAACAAATGGAAATCATGCACAAATGTCCTCAGGGATCACACATGCTCTTCCTATCAACGATGGTATTGAAACTAGGGGAAGCATCAGAGGAACATAAAAGAGCATTACCTGAAAATTCTTGTGTACCCAGGTAACCAGTGGCTCCTTGACACCATTTGACTGAGCATTATTCTGCCCATTAGCAATCCTTTCCTGAGATGGTGGACATTTTGCTGCTTGCGACTCTTTCTCCAGTATATCAACAAGTTCATTGAGCAAGAAGTTCAAAAATTCATGGGCATCCTACAAAAGTACATGATACGTAGAAGGATATCTAATATATAACATTCTCCATATATCATAAGAAACAAAGCCACACAAAGGAAGGAGACGCAATTGTATACATGAAAATAAAAATAATTGAGTGCAGAATGACTAGCTCAATACAGTTCAGCATACTTCAGCTTCCTATCCCAATGTCAGATTATCTCAACCTTATCAAAGTTCATATTATTAGCTTCTGAAACATGTATGGCTTACCATAGACTCAATCTAATTAGCTTGTACAGCATGTATTGCTACCAAAGGTTCTTAAAATCAAGAAAGATCAGGCATATTGATATGAGCTGTGGCTCGATGAGCATAGCATTTTGCCAATGTTTCAATAACCTTTTAAGAAATTCAGGAAAAAACACATTTATGCATAGATAGACAACAACTACGATTTCACTTGTTAATTTTAAACCCTTCCCCCCCCCCCCCAACCAAAAACAAAAAAAAGTGAAGACTGGTTGAATACTTGCATATCTTTTTTTTTTTTTCTTTTTTTGTTTTTTGAATACTTGCATAACAATGTAATGTAAACACAAAAAAATTAGATCATAAGATATACCTGATGCATGTAGCCACGGAAAAGTTCATTTTGTTTTCTCACTCTCTGAACAAAACGCTTTGGTGCAATGACCCCTGTTTTCTTCTTTTGTGAACTTATCTGGGGGTAAAAGTTCAGATATTCATTAGAGCCTAAAACCTAAAGTTGCAATTTCTACTCGAAATATCAATATTATCACTATGTATTTAAATAAAGCACAACAGAGTTATCTAAAATAAACATCACTTATGGAGTGTTGTGCAATATATTGTAGAACTGACAGATCTCCCAGTTTGACCTCCAATACATCCTTCAATGCATGCATGTCCAATGTGTGGCATCTCCTTATCTAGTTCTCTCTTAATTTAACTGGGCTATTACTTTGCTCGGCAAGCAAAAACTTGGTTGCCTTTTGAAGTTAGGACGTTATAGAATAGCTTTTCCACTTACACCAACCCTTCAATTAAGTAACAGTAATACAAGAAAGATTCCACCAAGTGTCTAACCAAATCAGATTCAGTTAAAAAAATATCTTCTGATTGTGAAGTTTCCTCTTTGATAAGGAACATTTAGTTGGCAAATTAAATGTTCACCATAAGCAGCAAGACTGACATGACATGTACCTTTCTAGTCAATACTGTGGACTCGAAAGAGTATGCACACAAAACTCCTAAATTATCATCCAAATCATGAAATAGAGCAATTAAATTAGGGATTATGGGCACAGTAATCGACAACCAGTTGAAGTATCAAGAAGCAGAAAAGATGCAATAAAAATTAAATGTGATCTTGGGGAAGGTGTAAGTACTAACAATCAGTTTATCTAGGACTTACTGGGGCCAATCTTCACAAGAGAGTGCTACGAATATTCACAACCAAACAAAGTGTTTTGTACAAGAAAATAGATCCAAAAACGTTCACAAAAAAATCGAACCATGTAGTCTCATGTTCATGAAGCTATACATCTTTGTGTTCAACACAAAGGACATACTTTTACTCCTCGTACATGCAAAGACAGCAGCTTTCTGAAGGAAGTTACTGTTAGCTATTCTTGTACAACACAGACAAATTGCAAAGGATAACTCATCACAGCCATTGAACTTATGATTGTAGGACATAACAAAAGGTCAAATCACAGCAATGTTTGAGGACCGCAATATATATATATATATATATATATATACATATATATCGGAAAGCATAGCAGAAAAGAATGCGTACAAGTATGAGCGGAAACAAACACCAATTTGAAAGTAGATTTAATCAATTTTCAAGCAAATACACCATACCTGCGAGAACAATTCTGCCAAACAAGTCAAGAGATTTTCTTCTGCTTCCCCTAGAGTTTTCCCATTTGCATAATACTCTAAAAGTTGTTCCCTAAATGGTACACAGAAGTATAACGCCTGCATATCCAATCACCAGCAACCCCCCCCCCCCAAAAAAAAAACCAAAAAAAAGCAGAAAAATAAACACCATTAATGATTAAAAAAAAATCAATCCAAATATAAAATCTTGATACGCCACTGGAAAGTCAAGAAAAACCAAGCCCATCATCGCAAATGAATCAAAGTTCAAACCAAAAATAGAAACTTTGACCAACAACAAGAACGAAATAAGTGCTCAAAACTCGAAGAAACCAAAATTCCAGAGAAAGAAAAAAGACAGAATTTTTATGTAAGAAATAAAAACCTGCAAGACACTGTTGCAATAGCAAGTATTCCCAAAATTTTCAAGGCCAAAATAGCGTTCTCCTTCAGGAAACTGGTCTCCGAGGGCCTTCTCGAGCTTGGAACCCGTGGCACCCATTACTTGGAGACCATCTACAAGATACCAAAACTCCTCTATTATTTTTCTTTTTTACTCTTCAATTCAAAATCAAATTCCGTCTCCCTTTATTTAATTGATGGGTTTTAGGGGGTTTTAACTCTAGCTGTTGATAGTATCAAGTGAGATTAGGAGGAGAGAGTCCCAATGGTCTGAGAAGACTGGAAAGAGTGAAAGACGCAACAAAGGATTTTCCGTAGGGCTGTTGAGCTAGAGCTACGCTTACAAGGTTAATTTTGTTGACTTTAGCTTTGCATCTTTGGCATACAGGCACGCAGGCATCAGGTTTGGCACTTGACCCTTTTAGTTGTTTTTTGTTCTTTCAGGAAAAATAAGTTGAGTCCCTATTTGTGAAAGGTGGTTTAGTCCTGTTATTCTTGTATTGTGATGCATGAATTGTTTCTACTTTCAAAACAAAAAATGTTACGAATCATTGTACATGCCGGAGAGCAAGAACTGCTAAAGTGGTAAAGTAATCCTTTGACTTTTTTTTTTGGTTTTTTTGTTTTTTTGGTTTTTTTTTTTGGTTTTTTTTGGGGGGGGGGGAGGGGGGGGGGTTTCAACAATTGTTTTTTGTTGGGTTTCAACAATTTAACCTTGATACGTGCAATCTACAGCACGTATTCTGCTTTACTAAGAAAGAAAGAAAGAAAGAAAGAATTGTTTATCTTGTTTTGACTGCTGGATGCTAATTGTTGGCCTTCAGAGGCGGGGCTTGCCCATTTCCAGATCCAAAGAAGGTCTCTTTTCTCCTTTCTTCCTAGCTCCTAAGGTCGGCCCTTGCCCTCTTTTGACTTCGTTCCCAGTACTCTTCAAATAGAGCCTTGCACCGATTGACTTCAGGTTCAAGCACAGAACCTATTCAAGGGGCCGAACGGTTACCAAGAAAACGTTCGGGCTGTTTTATGCAACATGCACATGGCGTAATTCTATCTGTACACAACCTAAATCACTTTCAATAACGTGTAACTATAGAACAAAAATTTTGTGAATCTCACGATATAAAAAATAAGGTACAAGATGAAATCTAAATCATAGTACTTTTTTTTTTTTTTTTATCAAATCTTGGCCATGAACTGCTAAGAACGTTGTAGGAAAAGGAGAAGGAACACGGTAGTGTGCAACTTCATCAATGCCATTTACCCTTATTTGGAAAATGTATTCTACGTAAAACATTCTTTTTTGTAGTATTAGTCACAAAACATTACCAGTATTATGCAGAGACATTTTGTGGCATCTTTGCTATATGAGAGCAATGCTGCAGATTTGTTGGAGTCTAAGGCTCCGTTTGATAAAACTGAATCTGAATTCTGAATTCTGAATGCTGAATACTGAAACAATTAATTTGCTGAATATTAAGCACTGAAAAAAGATATATGAATATCTGAATCTTAATGCTGAACATATTTATACTGTTTGATAAACATTTATAACTTAATGCTTAATAAGCTAAATTGTACAATTTTGCCCTTCTATCTTTTAATCCAAAAAGGAAATGGAACCTATGATTTAATTAGCTTAAAATTGTTAGGTATGAAAATGACAATATTTATTTTTAAATCAAAGTAATATAAAAGAATAAATATATTATGAAAAAGTCCAAATATCGGTGCAAATATTTTTTTAAATCAGAATTTGATAAGAAAAGTCCAAATATAAGCAAAAGGAAGCTGCAATAAACAAGTTTTAAATTCATACCAAATTATTTAGAAATTTAATTACTTCAATGGAAAAATGTTGAAGCAAAACAACAAATAATCAATGTCACTTACCTTGGAAATAATGAATTTGAGATCGGTGAGTACGGTAGCAATAAAAAAAATTGGGAGGAAAAAAATGACAAAATTATGAAAGAGTAGAAAGATGGAAAAAAAATAAGGAGTAGACAGATGTGAGGAGCATGGAGAAATTGTAAAAAAGTCATTAAATAGGGAAAAAATAGAAGTAGAAAGCCATTAAACAGAGAATGGCATGTTGTTTAATTAGATAAGGATTTTGGATAGAAAATATTAGGTTGTTTAATTAGATAAGGATTTTGAATGTAATTAACAAACAAGGATAGATTTGGTAGATAAAATAAAGTAATTGAAGTAAATCTCTTGATTCTTATCAAATTAAGCATTCAGTTACGATTCTTGTGCTGAAAAAAATACATACAAATTCAGCACCACTTAATAAGTTCAGCAGAAAAATTTTTATTTATCAAACACCCAAAACATCTGAATGTCTGAATGAATTCAGTTTCAGCACTTTTTTATGTTATCAAACAGACACTAAAGCTAAATATACTAATCTACCGTTCTGTAGTTGTACTATAATTGCTCATGTAGTAGTACTACAACTGCCTGTTTAAGGCGTGTAAAAAAAAAAATAATAATAAATTGACTGCCTGTTTAAGGCGTAAAAAAAAAAAAAAAAAAAAAAAGATTGCCAGTTTAAGCCAACTTTGCTGAATCATAAAAATAATCATTTTGAGAAATCACATTTGACAAAAACTAAGGGTCGATTCAGCGCACTGAATTGCGTTTTGTCTCCAGATGCTCTGGAACATATAGTTCCCACTTTATTGTATTACCTCAGCTTTCGTGTGATTATGTGTTGTTTTGTCTTTGTGATTTAGAACTGCGCCACTACACTCTGGTCTGGAATCTAGCGGTTTATTTGTTAAATATATACTGTATCAAATATTTCTTTTGCTTAACCCCACATTGGCATCTCGCATCAGAGAACCGAAAGTTCTCCTTAGAAACTCAAAACACTCAGTATATCATAGAAATCCAAGATTTCAGAATGCAAAATTGGCTTAATACAAATCGCAAGAAATTAAAACTGATGGTTCATGTTTGCTGGACCATAAAGCATTGAAGAGAGAGCATGATTAGTTTTAACTAAATCATGCATGACAATAGAGATGCGAAATTAATGTCATAGGAAAATAAGTAAACAAGAAGCATAATGAATCGAGAGTCAGACGTGAAATTGGCTAGCACAATAGTCCCTAACTCTCTTAATGAACTTGGGGTCACTGAAGCCCGCGAACGCTTCGGAAAAGCAATCATCTGAAAGCTCGGAGATGGCGTCGCAACAATTTTGCCCGACTGAAGAACCATCTTTCTCGAAAAAGAAAGTTATGAGATCTCTTATGCAACCATCCACGTATGTCAATGCATCCTGGCAGTCAGCGGGATCCTGGGAAGCTCTGGGAGTCGGTGGTGGTTGTCTTGGAGGACGAGAAGGTGGTAGTGATTTTGGAGGAGGTGCGAGTGGCGGTTGTGGATGCCTTGGAGGAGGAGGAGCTGGGGTTTGCGGTGGCGAGGATCGAGGAGGTGTTGGTGATGGCGGCTGCCACCAAGGAGACCAGGGCCAAGGCCAGCCCCATGCATGGGTAGCACTAGGCATGCAAACCAACATTAGGGCAACAAATTTAACTCTGTCACCCTCCATTTTGATGGTCACTGGTGAGTTTGTTAACGCAAAAAATAGAATAAAATAAGTTCAATCTAGCTTCTTATGCATAGGTGCTTTCGGATGAACAAAGTGAAATTCTCAAGTGTCCAAGACTCCTGGTTAATCAAGAAGTCTTTTCCTATTCTATTCATAATAGCGACTACTTTCTGTCGTTCCTATTTATTTTCTACCGCTGCTGCGGCGAGGCTCCTTCCTATCCATGCAGGAGCCAATCATGTTCGAGATTCATAGAACCATACGTATATTAATCCTAGTACATCTGCCATACCTCTTCCTCCAGCTTCCAAGTTTACTTCCATCTGCATCCTTCTACTGTTAACGAAAATTTAGTGCCCTCTTCAAATTATATCTTTCTTCCCACAATATTTTCAAAGCAAATGGGGCTTGACCTACACAAATACGCATCCCGTAGAGCATGTGGCCAGAACCTGGATAGAACCATGCATTAACTGTCCCTTTCCCCCTCCTCTTTTTTGTCTCTGGGTAAAAAATGAGAAACAGAGAATCTAAAGACCAAAGCAAGCAGCCAATGGCCTCCATCAATGCTGAATAGAAATGTTAAAAAAAAAGGTGCAAAAGACCTTAATTTAAAACGCTAGTATCAGAAAAGCTTTTAGGAGTGACTCTTCAATTTGTGAAAAGATTAAAGAAAGGGATCCAACAAGGAGGAGTATGACTACGCTGGCAATTAGACTCTCCAACCAGAATAAAAGTGCGAGGTGGATTCGGCCTCAATTGATTTTGCTGAGTTGCAATGTATGTGGGAAAGTACAGATGAAAAGTTCCGCAGATGTGCTGTGTTGAAGGGCAGATAATCAAAAGCTTTGCAGTCATTTCAAATTATTCACTCTATATACGTTCTCTCTTATTGCAGATTCCAGGTTATCAGAAAATCAAAGGGCTTTAGCGGATAGATTGATACTGATCCGATACACGTCTTGGAGGTAACTTCCGTAGGATAAAAAGCACTATTGCAGATGGCACAATTTCCACCATCTGAAAAAAAACCCATAGGCAACATATAATCAGCAGGGGCCATTGAGTGCTCTAGTGGGCGTATCCAGCTGCTGCTTTGGATACTCCATTTCTAGTAGCTATTGACAAACTCGTAAACAGAACCAAGTGTAAGCGCATTTTTAATTACTTGACTGAGAGGTTACAGATGCTATATTACACGAATCATATGACAGAAATATGCAAATTGTACCATGTAATAGAAAAGGTTGAGGACCGGATGGTCCAGGACATCAACATCAACATCCTCGTCAAAGGCAGAAAGAGCATCCTGTAATATTTCAGTGAAGATGTTGTACACTAACATGGTAATAGAAGTTTGGATATGGCTATGTTTTATAGTCTAATAGATCATGCAACTTACCATAACGCATCTTATCAAGAAACAAGCGCAGCAAATGCATGTCACGTATCCAACCTGCCAAGAAGAATCGTCAAGCATCAACATTCACTTCACCCTGGTAGAGAGGCAATGCATTGGTAACTAACTACTGCTTCACCATAGCATATAACTCAAGACTGCAATCACTAAAATAAGTTAAGATGCAGAACAAGACCACAAACCTTGCAAGTCTAAATAAAATAGTCTCATTCATTTTGCCGTATTTGAAGTTTATCCATAAAAGAGACGCTATAAAGAAGGGTCACTATTATTTCTCTCCTACTTCCACAATTTACACCAATATCCCCACAGATCATCAAGCCACAATCTTCCCAAAGCATATGAAGATTCGACATGCATCTTTACAGCCAGTTTAATCTTTCAAACGACAAACACGGACTACCAAAACATAATACACTTTTGGGGTCCAAAACCCAAAATCCTTTTCAACTATAAACATTATTTCATCCTGATTCATGGCTTTGGACCTGCTGGTTTATGCCAATAGCCCCCATGTTACTTCACTTGTGAATTCACTTCTCATTTTGTATGTTTTGCAATCATTAAGTCCAAAGAACGGCCCCAAGTTTTCCAAACTATTCGTGTAAACATAGGTGTCAATAATTACTGAATTATTAGGATCAGTTAAGGTGGATCTGTTGCGTACCAAATGGGTGCCGAGTGTTGTGTGAATTGAAAAAGAAGATGGAAAAGAAAAGCAAGCAGGGGAAAAGTTGATATCTTGGAGGTTGACTCTAAACTCTAAAGTGGATTCTCAAGAAACGGGCTTCTATATTAAGAGAAACCAAATAAAACTATCAATATTTATTTAATTTGGAATAAATGTAGCAACATTTTGTAAATAGCCGCTATAAAGAACACAAAATTGCAAGCTAAAACCTCCTGCAGTTTCTTTTGACGGCCTCGAGATTGTATGGGAAAGCGTCTCAGCATGATGAATAACCTAAACAGGAAAAGCTAAGCAAGCTAAAAATCTTGGGGGTACTCCGATAGATAACTAAATGAGGCTGAAGACAATATTTTACAGTCAAGCAAGCAATTACCTTCCGCCATATATCAAAAATCCCAGAGCAGCAGAAAAAGAGAGAACTGTAAAAAGTCAAATGTTACATCCTAAAAAATGCATCAGCAAACAAATAATCCAGCAATCAACAAAATAAAATATGTACTCACCTGGAAAAAAGAAAATATATACTCACCTGAAAAAAAGAGCCGAGCAACTTGAACTGCAGTTGTCGTCTGGCTGACTCTTGCATAGATCCAGATGCACACCTACAAAGCACCAGAGCATTTCTACAATTGATTAGAACAGTCAAAAGTCAGGAAAAAAAAAGCATGAATTAAGGCAGTGGTAACATCAAAACTTGATGTTGTTACCTGGAGAAGGTAGATAAGACCATTAATTATATAGTATGTGGGTCGAAACTTATCAACGGGAAGACTTCTTGCCTGAAGCAAATTAATAAAGAAGTACAGCCAGTAACTTGCTTGAGTAGGTTCACAACCATGTAAAGAATCTGTTGCAAAAGTACCTGATAGTATATTTCAGCCCAGAACAGAACAAGTAATGTATATGTTGAGAAAAACAGCAGACCTGGAAGTTCCAAAAGTATCAATTCAAGTGCCTGTTCATCACATTTTCTTTGAGTAAGAATTTCAAAAGATTTCAAGAGCCACAGTTTTTCACTTGTGGTTCATACTTGCTAAAGTAGACGAACAAGCATTAGAAGTGTAGGACAGAATGAAACTCAGAGACCGGATGCAACGAATGTCCATTATAAGAATGAAACATTTGAATCATTAACAGTCCTACGCCAGAAAAGGTTTGTTTCCTTTCAGGTAAAGACTTAAGCTTGATTATCTAGGTCCTTGTAAATATTTTCATCTGAAGGGCCCCTGACCATGTTCATATTTTCATCTGAAGGGGCCCTAACCATCAACCAATTTTACAATATACTTGAAAAGCTTATGCCTCAGTGGACAGGACTACAAAACAGAAACGAAACAAACTGAAATTAAGGGCACAACAATTACCTTCGTTCTGATGGTAAACACGTTTCTGTAAAATCCAAACAGGACGGCTCTCACTGCCAAAAGTTCAATAAAGTTTAAGGAGTCAGACAAATTTAACAAGAAGCGATTCCAGGTAGAAAGAAAAAGCAAAACTTACATCCTGTCACAATAAAATTCATCAGGTGAAAAACCTTTTGTGTTGTCCAACCATATTCAGGTACTCTTAACTGAATGCGAATAAGTTGCACCTGGAAACAAATTAAGAATGAAATGGCAATCGAGTAACAACTAAATCTGAAAACAGAGAAACTTTCAAACTTCAGAAGATGGAAAATGCAGATTCGAGAGCAACTCATTCATCACTTGACTAGGAGATCAACCGAGCAACAATTCAGCCTAATTCTAGACCCACAGAACAAAATGAGGGAGTCGTTGAATATCATCTCCCAGACCAAATACATGTTTTGAGTCCAAAATTTGTTTCTTTTCAACTTTCAGGAATCATCCGCTTCCTGGTTTAGACAACAGTGAAAAAAAATCTGAATTCCACAGGCTCAAATAAGTGTCTCGAAAAACAGAAAAATCCAACCAAACATAAAATCAGAAGAGGGGAAAACAGAGGGGCAACATAAACTGCTACACATTCAACAACGGAAGAAAGGAAGCAAAAAATTATCTCGGACCCCCCGAGTGCCTGCCATATTCAAGAAATGCAATTGAAACCATAGACTTATGTTTAAATTGTTATTAGAAAGAATGTTATTATCAGTCTTACCAGTGCAACCAAGGAAACCAATGCATAAGACGCAGAAAGAGTGTAATATACTCCCCGCTGCCATTTTTCCGACTCTTGAATTTCATTCCACCAATCAAAAAGGTCAATTAGTTCTCCTCCTCCTCCTCCGCTATAATAATCCTTTGCCTCTCCAGACACAAAGCTGTTGGATTTCAGCATTGATGGAATCTATCAAACGAAGAGATAAACGCACATCAATTTGCAGTAATTCGCGCAAAGATTCTGATGAAAAAAAGAACGAACTTGACAGGTAGTAGTAGTATAGTATTCATTAATATTCAGTCCGAGAAAACAAGGAAAAGACAAGTGGAGGTCAAACGTGGTGTACACGTGGGGAGCGAAGGTGTAACACGGGTGATGGCAAAGCCTCTGTTGACCTAGAGTGGTGGCCCCACTTATTACGCCGATTTCGCAATGGTCTTAGGTAAAAGTGTCAGGTGGCGTTTGGTTCGCACATCGGAATCGGATTCGGATTCGGAATCGGATATCTTGGGTTTGGAATGAGGTCATTCATTCCAATATATTTGTTTGGTTCAAGTACCTGGAATGTGTATCATTACTATAGTTGATGTTTGGTTCGTCAACTCTTTCGGAATGGAATATAATAAATATATTATAAACCACATCGTAAATGATAATTATTGACTCTTTGTAAATGAGATATAAGAAATTTTCACTAATTAAATATATTAGTATAAATGTATTAGTAAATTTAGATAATAATATTATCATTATAAGTTTGTAACTAATTATATTAAATATTATATATATAATTAAATATAAATATATAATTATATAATATATACAAATATTAATTATACAAATATTTTATATAAATATAATATATATTACATATTAAATATAGTTATTATTATATATTATTATATTTAAAATAATAATTATTATAATTATATAACTTATTAATATTACATACATGTATATATTATAATTATATGCACATATAACATACATTTATAAATATACATATATATTATAAATATAATATTATATAATATTAATAAATTTATAATATATATTATATAAGTATTATTATATTTAACTAAATAATTATAATGTATAATTATATAATACAATAACATCATTATTATAAGTTTGTAACTAATTAAATTAAATATTATATATATAATTAATTATAATTATACAAACGTTATAAAATAAATATATAATTATAATTATATAATATATAAATATTAATTGTACTCATATTTTATATAAGTATAATGCATATTAATATTAGATATAGTAATTATTATATATTATTGTATTTAAAATAATAAATATAAATATAAATATAAATATAAAATTTATTAATATTATATACATGTGTATATTATAATCATATGCACATATAATATGCATTTATAAATATACATATATATTATAAATATATTATTACATAATATTAATAAATTTATAATATATATTATATAAATATAATTATATTTAACTAAATAATTATAATATATATTTATATAATGTACTAATATTATAATTATAATATATAATATATAATATATATGTATATATTATAATATATAATAAATATAATAAATATAAATATTAATTATATCATTGTATAATTATAATATGTAATTGGATTTGTTTCTTGGAATCAAACTTGGGAATCGGACAAAACCCACCAAAATACTTGGGAATGGAGAAACACCAAATTTTTAGAAATCATTCCAAGATTTCAATTCCCATTCCAGTGAACCAAACACCATTTATGGGGTTCATTCCATTCCCCGAATCCGATACCCTCTTACCAAACGCCCCCTTAGTAAAACTGTATAAACTCCCTCCCCAGTCCCCGGGGGCCACTTTCCTTTCCTGCCTATGTATTTAGGATCGGACCGAGTATCGACTCGATCGAATTCAAGGGTCAGAGATTAATGAATTCAATCGGAATTGAATTATCATAAATAAAAATTATTTAAAAATTAAAATATCGTATGTAAAATATCTAAAAGTATGTTAATAATAATAAAGGTATATTCATATATATTTGATATTTTAAATATATTTAACAAGAAAATATAAAGAAATTAGAATGATCAAGTAGCAATTTATATTATTCAATAAACATTAACAAGTTTAGAATTGAAAATTATGGACTTGATTGAAAAATAACACCAAACTTTTAGATCAATATTTATAATGTAAGCAATATTTGAGGTATATTAATAATTTTTTACAACCTAGGGGTTAAAACATAATATTGAAAATGCTTTGAACTTTTTAAAAAAAAAAGCTTTAACACCACGGTTCTTCCGATTTTTTTCCGATCAAACCCGAATTTTAACTTGATTTAATCGAAGTTTTGGTCGATTTTCGGTTCGACCGATCGGACCGGTCGATCCGATCCGAATTTAAAAACGCCTTGTTTGGATTGCATTTTCTAAGATTTTTTTGTAGAAAAATTACTGCAGCGATTTGATATATATGAGGAAACAAGATAATAGAAAAATGTAATTACGGAAACAACGTAATTTTCTGGCCAAATGGGGTAGTTTCCTGCTCGCCGCCCGAGAGGCGAGAGGTCCAGCTCCAGCCTCAGACTCGGGTGGTTCGGTACAGGCCACAGGGGCAGGGTACATTATTACATTGAAATGCGGCAGTAAGCGCACGAGGACTGCTGAAATGCGACAAATCGCAAATAGCTCATCCTCCCGCCCCGTTTCTTGATTTCACTGCCTCTGTCTCGCCCAGGCCTCCCTTCTGCAATTTTTTTTTTTTTTTTTTTGAAACACTCCCTTCTGCAACTTAGACAATGGTAATAAAAATCACTCCCTTCTGCATCTTGCCTTGCTAATTTGGTCAAGAAATCAATCGACCCTAGCCAATTCACCTTAGGTGAGTGCGGTTACCAAGTGAAACTTGAAGTTTAAACCTGACTGCTGCTGCAGTGAAATTCAAAGATGTGTAATGGTATACCCCTTTATCTAGAGACGAAACTATTCACTCTTAAACTCCTTTTGATCCAGTTTGGCCCTTTCTTAGATATGAATTAGAATAGAAGTAAGAATAGTATAGTAGTTATCGATTGACAGAAAAAAAAATCCCCTGATCCTAGTTCGGACAGTGAATTGCTCGATCTTCGCTCAAGTTAAGGTTAGATGCCTGAGTTTGGGAATAGCCCGATTCAGCTTTGACTCCAGAAGACGACATTGACAGATACAATGAGGTATTCATAAAGATTACATGGAGTATCATTTTACATGTCAGTGTACATCAAGACCTGACATTCGCATCTATTTGCATCAAAAACAAATCCCCAATGAAACCTTACTAGTGCCAACCCCATCAGCTGCTTCTCTAGCGGAATCCTAAACTTTCATTTCTTGCAATGTCTTTTCCTTTTCTTTTATTATTCTTGTTATTAAATAAATAGGCTGCTGAATCAATTCCAAATTGTCGAACAACTTGAGTGAGTATTTTAACAATTCCATCCTCGAATTATAACAGCCATAACCAAACAACTTGATGTTCACTAATCACCTTTGGATATTTGGCAATGTAGCTTATTTGGTGCTGTACAGTTGACCCTCTTTGCCTCTAATTTTTAATTGCCCAATTGAACTAGAGTATATATTAATCTAATCCGTGGTTTGGATGAAAACACCGCAGATACTTTTGACCTTTTTTTTTTTTTCATTTTAAACACAACAACATTAGACTAACATGAAGTACTCAGTCTGTTTTGGCTTTTTGGTCTTCATTTAATAATGGTAAAGGTACTCTGCCACAGGCATTTCAAGGGTAGAAAAACATCTCTTCCTAATCTGAAATTCGCAGCTTGTCTCCCAGATGGCTCTGGTACATGAGTTGGTAGGTATGCCTTTGAATTGTATACAGTTCATGAAAACAACAAAACTCAAGTATTTAACTTTTCAAGAGATGTTGGTTTGACTACGTTTGAGATGATTAAATCCGTTTGAGTTATGAAACAAATGAAAAAGCAACTTATTTTGGATGAGTTGAGCTCCACATCTTTTAGACAAAGCCAGAAGCTCATCGCATGCAAAGTTGCATCATCACAGGGTATGCGAGGGAGGTCTTCACGACTGATTTTCGCCACATTATGTAAACATGCTAAGGAGATAAAAGGCAAGGAATATAGAAAAGATCAAACAGGAGAAAAGTAATCCATCATGGGGGATTGGAAAATTCTCTTGCTAGTGGCTGATGCCTAATCAAGAATGGCTGAAAGAATAAAAAATGAATGAAAAGTAGAAACAGGGCAATGGTTATTTAAGTTGGGTTGGGTGATGGTGGGGAGGAATTGTATGCAGGTAGGATTGCAGCGCTGATTGGTGCTTTGTTAATTTTCTTCTGCACACATTTTGACTTCAGAGCAAGTAGTGGGTTGGGTACTCTTAAAAATCTTTCTTATCGAATTCTAACTCGCATATTTAAGTTTTTTTTTTCCATCAAATCCTATCGAATAATCTTATAGGTTTTAACTTCCGTTACTAAACTCTCAATCTCGGAGCATTTATTGAGTACTCTCTGCCCCTAATTTGAATAGTTTTAAAAAAAGGTAATTAATTATTATTAAACTAAAATTAATGCATACATCATATTAAATCAATACATTATTACGTTAAATTTTAAAATGATTAGAATTAAGAGTTTGAGGATTTGAGGGATGATAAGAAAGAGGATTTGAGAGTTAATTAATAATCATTAATATATATGTGTGTGTGTGTCGGATCTCGAATTCTTTAGAATTTTCTTATTAAACTCTAATTAATTACCTATCGGTTATTTAATTGAATTAACCATCGGATTTAATACCCGCATGTATTGAATTTTACCTTATCAATTGCCATTCTTATAAGTAGGAGGGCATGGCAATAGGGGCTCAACACCTCGCACTTAATTTAAAAAAGTCGAGAAAAAAAGGGTATAGGGCTGACCACCAAAAATAGAGAATAGGCCAACAAATGGACCAGATGAGCACTTGATTGCAAACTTTTGCAGGAAGTTGTAGACCCACAAGAGAAGGAAAAACTGAAACAGCTGTACGTGTTCACGAATCAAATGAACAAACAGTGACTCTGACTCTTTGTAACCATTACTCTTTGACTCTTTGTAACAATTACTCCTGCATCGCTGCATTATTACAATTGCAAAACACTAGCCGCAATAATAAAGAAACAATAAAGACTACAAAAGTCAATAAGGGAAGGCCAAAGCTTAAGCTTTGGTCTCTTTGGCAGCCAATCTTGCCTTCTTAGCAAACCCAAGACCCTTTCCCTCAACAACAGAAACCCATAAAACTATTGCCAGCTCTTTACTGAAATTCCAACTGTTTCTTTTCAATTTTTTGGTCGGAAATTTTTTTTACAGGCATATATATCGACTCGTTACAGGGTTTCTGGTCAGCGGACTGGTCAAGTCGTACACAAAGATAGGATCTTTCTTGCGTTTTCAGGGGAAATTTTGAAGTTGGCGGATCGGTAAGTGGAACTTTTTGATGTTACTTATATGATAATTTTATGTTATTTTTTTGGTGGATTTTTGAAGAAAGATTGGTTCTTGATTGAGATTTTACCGTTAGCGGTGGTGTTTATTTGATGATCATCAAAGTTCTTTCTTTGCTCTCCGACAGGTTGTGAAAATAAAGGCTTCGGAATTGGAGGTTAGATGTTAATTTGTCGAGGAGAAGGGTGAGGTGGGGCTGAATTATATGGATAACTTTTGCTGCTTCAGTTCCCAGGTGAGCTTGTCCCAGCTGCTTCTCCATTTGGATTTCTTTCTTTGTTGTACAGATTGTTTGAATTATTATTATTCTTGTATCGGTTCTTCGCTAACTATCGGAAAGCTAATTTTAAAAAAATATTGGAAAACTGATCCATTTGTTTTCCTTATCTGAAGGAACTGATCTAGTAACTTTGACTTTATACTTGTGAATCTACTGTTAATATGCTGCTTAATTCTGGTGGATTCGATGATTGATTGGTGTTTTGATGCTATGAACTGTGGGAGGTTTTCTGCATCATTATGAGTTAAAAAACTAAGCTAATTATTTGGTCCATGGCTTCTTTTGAGATGGAGAAATCTGCATCTCCTCTGTCTGTGGAGTGACAACATGCAGCTTGGCTGTAATTTTGGGTCTTATTTCAACTTGAGTTGGGGTTTGTCATGATTGTCTTGAGTAGGTTCTCTATTATGTTCGGATGTTTGCTGTTGGATGGTAGTAGTGAGGTTGTTACAGCATTTCATCCACACGAGGAATTTTAGTTTCTATAGCAGTTGTTGTACGCTTTATTTTGCTTCCTTCTGGAGAATGATTACCTTTCGTTATATTCATAACTGCTGTAGTATAGGATACCACTGTCATTGAAAATCTGGATTAAAATTATTGGAGTTAAAGAAATTATATTTTAGAGGGTCAATATCAAGGATTTGACATAGTAAAGCATTTATCTTTTTTGTTTTAGCAAATTGTCTCAGGTGCATTTTCTGTTGCTCTTGAAGTTTAAATTTTCCTTCCCTTTATCAGGCTGGAGGACGCTCTTCATGTGGCTCTGGCAAGGGAAGAAGTCAGCTGGGTCCTGTCAAATATGGGTTTAGCCTGGTAAAGGGGAGAGCAAATCATCCTATGGAAGATTACCATGTTGCTAAATTTGTTCAGATTCAAGGACGAGAGCTTGGACTCTTTGCTATTTTTGATGGGCATTTGGGTGACAGCGTACCTGCCTATTTACAGAAGCATTTGTTTTCTAATATCTTAAAGGAGGTTTGTCCGTATTCACTGCACTGTTGGCTTGTCTATCATATGATTATTGTGGACTATTCTCTTTCTGTTTTGCATGAAGTTCACGGTAATTTTACATACTCAATTTTTAAATCTATTTCATACTCAATGTCTATTTTTACAAGTAGCTGGGAAGTTACAGGTCTTATTTTCTGGGTCCTTCTTGGTTATTCATTTCTTTTCTTGAGAAAGATTAAATGGATAAGTACATTTTATCATTTCTGCACCTTGCAACTATTCAACTGTAACGGCATCACTTAATCCAAAGTGAGTATCGATCGTTACTACTGCTTTTTCTATAACTTTTCGATCTTGATAAGGAGCAATGCATAATATGGTTCTTGGATGGTAGTGATGGAATCTGTTGCTATTTTTTCACTAAAGTGTAAAGCTTAATTGGATTCTGTATCAGGGGATGTTGCACGAGTGAACGGTCAACTGGCTGTATCCCGTGCTTTTGGAGACAAGAACCTGAAATCACACCTCCGATCAGATCCTGATGTCACAAATGCCAGCATTGAGGCAGAGACAGATGTACTCATCCTTGCAAGTGATGGTCTATGGAAGGTGCGTCTCTCTCTGCCCCCTGTTTTCATGGATTTAAATGATTAGTTATACTGAATCCTAGCCTGTGAATACTCCAGGTGATGTCTAATCAGGAGGCAGTTGACATTGCACGGAAGATAAAGGACCCACAGAAGGGAGCAAAACAACTAGTGATGGAAGCATTACATAGAGAAAGCAAAGATGATATCTCCTGCATTGTTGTGCGATTTATGGGGTGAAACCGCGATAAGATATCCGTTAATGTTTTTCATATGTATACAAGTCGGAAGTTTGGGGGGAGGGAGGAACAGGGGAATCTGATTTGATATAGGTTATAAACCCCACTCCACACCATCTGTAGTATTTTAAGTTTCTATATTCGTGTTGTGCGGTTTGTTAGAGCTTGATTCTTCCCATTTGTAGATTCATAGAAGCATTTTTCTGTAATTTACACGAGGCTTCGGAGCTGAGTTGTTTGACAGCCAGTAGTTCTTGTAATAATGAAGCTGGAAATTGGTATTTGTTGACAAGTCAAGGTATAGAGATATAGTTGAAGGGTGTCTTGATCAAGTTGGTGTTTGGTTGGCCCCTCTGAAGCAAATGCAGAGCATTTTTCTGACGGCCCCTCTGAAGCATTCCACAATTTACTTGGCATTTAGGGCAAAGTGAAGTTTGAAGACCGAGATAAGCGGAGGAAAGGTGGTACAATAATGTAACCTGGGGCGACATCAAAATAAAAAGCATTCCGACCCTGAAGATTGCTCGTTAACTTTGATTGCCTCTTACGTTAATACGTGGGGGCTTACTTTACTTTTACATGGGGGCATTTACTAAATTTCTTGTTTTCTTGCTCACAGAGGAGGATACGTTGTGTTGATTAGGTAATTCTTGTAGTGTTTTATTGCCTCGAGCATGCGCCGACTTTGCACAAGGCGATCCGGTCTTATTGAACTCAACCGCGTAGAAGTTTAAATGTTGACTTGAGTTATCAAACATGAATATGACAACATAATTACGGTTTTGGAGTTGAAAGTAGTTATCAAATAGGGTTTAAATATGAATATGACAACATAATAACGATTTTGGAGTCGAAAGTAGTAATGTAATGCGAATCATAACTCATGTTACATAATCCCATCAAATTTGGGCTTACTCAATCTTGCAAGTGGGAATAGCTTTTCAAATCTCAGCGGGTTAGTAGTAAATCCGATAGTTTTTTTTTTCTTTTAAGCAATACTATTATGGATTAACTTTTTATGCACAGATAGTACAGTAATTTTTTTACACTGACAAATTTAGATGTATGTCACATGTTTTTTATTTGAATTTGAAATTTAAATTGATATAGTATGTGACATAATTTGAATTTATTACACTCGCGGTGTATAAAAAAATTATCCTACTACTATTTATACACATTTTGAATTCTTCACACACGTAAGAAATTTTGTGCTATAGTAATGATGTGTATCAATATAATTTTCTTTCTTTTTTTTTTTTCTCTGGAGGGGCATGATATCTTTCTTGCGAGTAAAGACAAACTTTTGCGCGTGATGACACGCTCTCAGTTCCTTGCATATCCGCCCCCCCCCCCGCCCCCCCCCCCCCCCCCCACAAAAAAAAAAAAAGGTGGAAGAAGGAGAAAACCCCTTGTGACTAAATGAGTCATACAACTCTTCTTCCAAGGAAGGCAAGGAAAAAGTAGCTAAAACCCTTGTAAAACCCTCAAATTTCAATCAGTTCGTCGATCAATCAAGAACAACCCATCATCATCATGTCAAGTTCATCAAAGCTCAATGTCTCAAACCCTAAAGTCTGGATCTTGATCGGCGTAGGCGTTGCCGGCATCATTGTTCTCGCTGAGACTCGCCGCCGCCGTCTGAAATCCCGAAATGCAATCAAAGAAGACTTCGGCTCCTTTGTCGAGCGCTTCGAGCTTTCTCCATTTCCTCAACCTCCTCCTCCCGCCGCTCGACTCCCCCTCTCCGGCCTCACTTTCGCCATTAAAGACATGTAAGCACTTCTTTCTTTGATCATATGATTTTCATCATATCCTGCTCCTAACTTCTATAGCTTACTCGTTCTCTCTTTTTCCATGAATGATTTTTGGTAGAATTGATGTAAAGGGTTTTGTGACGGGGTTTGGGAGTGTGGACTGGAAGAAGACTCATGAGGTGGCGGCCAAGACTGCGGTGGTGGTGACGGCTCTCTTGAAAAGTGGGGCTACTTGTGTTGGAAAGACAATCATGGATGAATTTGGCTTTGGGTATCTTTCTCTTTCTCCTCTGTTATTGTTGCTGTAGAGATATAATATCTGTTGGCCTTCATTATGGCCTTTTGGTCCCTTAACCTTTCTTGAATTTAGATCAGCAGTTAATCATAATTTATGGAAAAGCTTCTAGTCCAACGGGTCTAACTTTTGTATTATTTTTAGGGACGCGACAACCTAGAAGATTTGTCAAAAAGATAAACTTTGTTGCCTTTTGATGTTGTACATGCTCTGCTTTCAATTGCATGTGAACAACTTTGTAGTTCGTCACAAAATTCTATTGTTAAGATACGTCTGTACGTAGAAATGATCACTAATAGTTAGAGCCAACTTATAAATTTTAATTCGTCTGTCATAGTTAAGCAGAATTCTGCATAATTTATAGGCAAGATATTAACTTTTATTTGTTTGGACTCCAGGGAAAATATTTGATTTGACGGGACTATGGTATTTGAAAAGTCATTCATATGCTTATCTATCAATATTTTTGTGGATTGTGGTGTCAGGATAACAGGGGAAAATTCTCATTATGGAACTCCAACTAATCCAAACTTGCCATCCCATATACCTGGGGGTTCAAGTAGTGGTTCAGCTGTTGCTGTTGCTGCCAAGCTTGTGGATTTTGCTATCGGTACGCATTCTGCTCACATGGAATCGTGGATTGATGTTCCTGTAAATAAACACGAGTCACATTGTTGCTCTATTGGCTCATTATTTTGATAAGGCTTCTGGAGTGACTTTAAGCCTGAGTTTTACAACATTTGTGTCTCACTATTTTCATAAGATTTATGGAGTTGGGTTCTTTTTGCTTTGTTGACCTTCGTCTGTGGAACCTGTAACTTTTGTATATGAAAGTGCTATTGGTTTAGAACTTCTTTCACTTTTTACTGAATCCATTTGTTTTGTATGTCACAAATGACGACTGTATTTTTCTGTAAACACTTGAAAAGTGAATTCATATCTGACCCTGTAACCTGACATATTTCAAGCGATGCAGGTACTGATACAATTGGATGTATAAGAATTCCAGCGTCATGTTGTGGTATACTTGGATTTAGACCGTCGCACGGGATTGTATCTCTAGTTGGTGTTCTACCAAATTCTCAAAGTTTAGACACTGTTGGTATGTAATACAGGTCATCTAGTTACTTCATTGATTAGCCAATTGAACTCTGCTCATCTTAAAACTCTTGTAAGTTGAGTTTGGTTCCAAACTGACAGCTCATTTGACATTTGCCTGTTAAATATTGGTGACCATCTGTGATGGATTTGATGGTCTATTTCAAAGGGTGGTTAGGACTTGAAATGATATCATGTGTCAATGGTCAATATCAATGAGCAGCTAGTACTGGGAATAACATCAAATGCTCAACTGTTGCATATGTATATCACTATCATCTCGCAATGTCCAGTCTCCTACCCTCCAAAAACTAGATAATGAACTAGTACATGCATTGCAAAAATTGTTGTTTTGGCTTGATTGTTATGGATCCTTTTCATTTTATTGGTGTTCTTATATGGCATTTTTTTTTATCATCTGCTTAATACTTTTATAGGGTGGTTTGCCCGTGACCCCTCTACGTTGCGTCATGTTGGACATGTTCTGCTTCAGTTAAATCCATTGGAAACTCGAAAGACAAGGCGCCTTTTGATAGCTGATGATCTCTTTCAGCTTTCTAAAGTTCCCAAGTGGAAGACTATAGATGTTTTCAAGCGAGTCACAGGGAAATTATCTGGCTGTAAGTTGCGCCTTTCTTTCCCATGTGAAAGTTGACTTGCGATTTCTCCTAATGAAGGTTGATTATTGGTATTGTCTTACATGATACCGTATCAGTGGTTTTCATTATTGGATTGGAGTACTTTTGCCAGAGCAACTGACATTTTTACTAAGATATATACTCTCTAACTTTCATTGATGGTGCAGACCAAACAGCGAACCATATAAAATTTGGGCAGTATATTTCTTCAAATGTGCCCAGTTTAAAAGGATTTGATGAAGAATTGAAAAACGAGACCTTGATATCTAATGTGAAAGCTCTTGCTTCTGTCATGTCTATACTGCAGAGGTACTTCAGAACTGTGTTTGAATGGTTTTTATTTACTTGTTTAATAGTTTGAACTTGAAGAGTTGGAAGTTTATAGTTCTAATGGAAGAGATGGCAATAAATGCAAAGTATCTTTTACATGTCATGTTTTTAACTTTGGGAAAATGGAAGTCCTTTATAAACTTACTTATGTATCCAACATATCAAGAGGATGTTTTAATGGAAATTTCTACTTTAATTTTTCCTTTCTCAAACTTTATTACAACAATATAAAGCTTGAATGTCTGCATGTTAGTTAAAATGCTTATCTGAAGGTCATTCTTCAGTAGTGGAACCAAAGAAATTGTCTTCTATCTAGTTACTAATTTGGCCACTTGAAGGACTGTTGTGACTCATGTAGTGGGAAGACATTTTCATTTTTGCTCTTAGAAGTCCTGTGTAACATAGCTTCACACATTTGATGGTACCTTGACTTTGGAGGCTTTGATTCTATTCTGGTTGACATCTGTTATTTTACTGCTGCACAGATACGAGTTTAGGACAAATCATGAGGAATGGTTTGTTTCAGTTAAACCCAGATTGGGACCTCGTGTCTCTGATGGTGTTCTAGCAGCAATTAATACTACACCTGAGAACATCAAAATTCTTTACAAAATAAGGAGTGAAATGCGAACTGCTCTTCAAGCTCTTTTGAAGGTATTCTAAATTTTGTCTCCAAATACTGCTGTCATTACTTACTACTCTTTTTCGGCAGCCTTGTTCTTTGGGGAGAAGGCTGGGGGTTGGGCAGTAGGAAGAACCTTTAGCTAATACTGTATCATGTTCAATTGCATTATTGTGGTATGCCTATTCTATGGAGTTGCATAATTCTAGTGTTCACGTGCTTTTGAAGAATTCTCCTATTGGATATCGTGGCTTGGGCAAGTTTGTCTTTATTGTCGGCAAACAGTCAAAAGAGAGAGAACATGGAATTTTGACCTTCTTTTTAAATTGAAGACAACATCAAATGTTTTGAATGGTTTTGACCTTAACTTTTTTGGTTTCTTCTGAAATTAGTTATTCTTTACTTATATATTTGACCTTGTTTTTGCCTCCTCTCTTCTGTAGTATGTGTTTTATTTACCTTTTCCCGGTCTCTCTTTTTTTTTTGTATTTTTATCTTTAGGATGACGGCATATTAGTAATTCCAACAGTTGCAGACCCGCCGTTGAAACTTAACATAAAGAAAGGTGCATTTTCTGAGTTCCTGGATAGAACATTTGCTTTATCAAGCATTGCGAGTATGTCTGGCTGCTGTCAGGTATACATGTCTTGCAGATTTTAGTGTTCTCAATTCAGTTCCTTGCCATTTTATTGGTTTTTTATTCTATCTTGTTTGTAAATATCCAGGTCTCTGTTCCTTTTGGGGAGCATGATGATTATCCAGTATCTGTGTCATTTATTGCATCCCATGGAGCAGACAAATTTCTGCTTGATACCATTGTCGATATGTATTCTTCTCTTCAAGATGAAGTTAGTACTGTTTCAAATTCTCCACCGCTG